GCAAAAATATATAAATCAAAATATTTATCTTATCCGTTTGAACATTTGCTACTAAACTCTCATTGTTCCATCCAAATCAATTTATTGTTGGACCGAAATCGGTCCTAAATAAAGTTATAAACATGCAGATACGATGAAGCAGACAATCATTTATTATAGTAGGTACAAATTAATTTTCATCTCAAGATTATTTTAATCTCTTTTTAATTTATTTTAAAATATTAAAGAATGTGAGTAACACCAGAGAGGTTACACCGAACTCAAATTATGTATAAACTTTCCTTTACAATGGCGTAAATATGCTATCGCATTTCAGAATAGTTTAGAATATAATTCTATTAAGATATTTGTATAGTGTCCATATTCTATTGTAGTCTGGTACACCGACCAGACGTTTTTCATTTAAGAAGCAGGCAGACTGGTTCGGTGCCCTCAGGCGTCCAGACAGGGTGTGGCGGTACACCCTCAGGATAATATACACAACTTTCAATTATTAAAATTGGTTCATGCATTTTTATTATCTCCAATAAGATCTTATTTTAATGGCATTACAAGTAACCTATTATCTTAACTATCACATGAGTATATAAAATATAGTATTCTTTATTTAAATTTTTATCTTCGTAACGAACGTCGAGGAGATCAAACCTATTCTCCGCGCGATTTTTATTGTTGAAGTTCAAAAATAAAAATCGCACGAGTCCACCTTACTAACTTACTTTTCAATATTTAGGTCATCTAACTAAAAAGTTGAAATAAATACCCTTTCAGGTCATTTTTGAGTGATAAGGGGTTTGCTTATTTTTTAACATATTAACTTAAATGAATTAATTAACTTGTTTAATTATTGATCTAGTTAATCCACCTTCTAATTAAAAATCAAACTACAACCACGGTTACAACCTTGATACTCACTTTCAGAACAATATTGCACTGCACACAGCCAATAATTAGCTATAGTATATTGCCTATTGTATCTATTTGTAATGTAGATTACATTTTACAAGGTACAAAAACAAACCACAAAATAATTAGATTACATAACATTCATAAGTGCAGAATTGACCACAAAATAATCCTTGTTGATGTGTTAAAGGCCACACTATTAAAAGCAACACCAATAAGAATACAACGGCATACATTTTTATTTTCCACGGTTGTACTAATGAGGTTCTCAATTGTAAAAAGTACTTTATAAGATTTACTTGTTTTATACTGAGATGGAATTTCGTCATCGTCCTATTAATCCTCCACTGTTGGAGTACAAGTTTTCCCTGAACAGAAATGATGATGATTGGTTGATACTCTAGTGTCCTGACTAGAGCCGGAATGAGGCGTTCCAGCCACTCCATACAAATATTCTCGAGAATTTAAAACTCCTCAATAAAATCCTTCTTCAAAGATTAGATTGACTTTCATCAAGACTATTATTTATATTTACATCAGCTAAAATGTTTCCTTCAAGAATGGTATCATTTATTTAAGAACAGAACAAAGATATTTTATATTTTGAAATAAACGTAATTTTGCTATGTTATATAAAACTTCTGCCTATTCGATTCGATTCTATCCACAGCTGGACAGCTGTGTCTCAGCAGCGGGAACATTAACCCTCTATTGCATGAATTATTAAATTTAATAGAAAAAAAAATATTTTTATGTTTTAATGTGCTTTATTATGGCTTATAAGACAAAATATAAAGTGAAAAGAAAAATAAGTTTATTATTTTGGAAAAAAAAACAGAAGCCATTTTTGGCTTCCGATGCGCGACAAATAAACATCATACAAGGTGAAATTCTCTAAAACAGTTTCTTTTCTCATTCAAGCATAGAAAAACGTTACATTTCTCACATTTTATATGGGAACGCAAAGAACAATCATTCTGACATAATTGACGAGTCCTTTGATGAATCGGAAAATGGTCAATTTTGTCTGAACGTACTGAATTTAGAGGTAGCTCTTGCACTTTTGCAGAGATTTTTCGTTGTTAACGTTAAAAAAAGAACTCTGAATGCATGAGAAGCCATTTTAGGCTCAAATTTACTTTATCATAATGCATACGAAGCCAAAAATGGCTCCTGTAGAAAATAATGAAAATGAAGTATAAAGAACAAATATTTTGAATAAAGTGTAAGAGGCATCAAAAACAGAGGCTTTGTAGAACATTATTTATATTTTTGAATATCAATATTCTTACTTTTTCTATTTAATTTTCACTAATAAATTTGCAGTAAATTTCACTAAGAACGACTTTGCGTACGCACCGGAAAGAAGTGAGGTTATAATGACATACGACTTTGGCCATAGACAATAAAAATTGCGTTTCGTTTCAGTTTGAACTCCCTAATATTACTGTGATAAATTTTAGAATTTTTGTTTATAATTAGGGTAGAAAAAAGTTACTAAAGTTTAGCAGCCAAAAATGGCTCTGTATGCAATAGAGGGTTAATAAGATGTAATGGTGATGTGATAGTTTTAAACCTGACAGTAGGCAAAAAAAAAGGAGAATAAAATGACATTTACGGATGCAGCCAAGCAAAGTAACGGAATAACGCTTTAATGTGACTCTCCAATCACACAGGAGCCTGATATAATATATTTCGATCAGATTCCCGATAAATTAGCTTTATAAAAGTTGCTTAACTTCAGCTATCGCAGACCGACCGCTGTAACCACTTGGCAAACGAGATTTAATTTAATAATCTGTTATGCTGTATGATGAGAGTTTACACAATGATGGACATCAAACATTGCCAAACCATGCTACGCGCCATGTGCAATAAAATTATACGCGCTGTTTCAAATCTAGAACGGGACTTTATGTATCATATCACCTTTATGAGCTATGAAATTAACATCCACTGTAATACACAGGTTAAGGTTATGAAAGATGTTATTTAAGTATGCTTAAACGATGTCTTTAACAGAAAATGGTCGTTCTTCGTTGTATTGTATTGTAACCTAATAACCTTCCAAAACTACAAGCATTATAGGAACTTCGGTTACCTTGGCATTAATACCAAATATAGCATTCTTATAACCTTTCATCGTATACTACTTACTTGTTAACTTATGAATTATCTATAATACTACGTTCTCTCTATACCATACATATTAATTGAATAACTCCAATTAATCTAACATCAGGATTTATAGTAGTAGGGTTTATAATATTTGTATTTTACTTCCATATTTCTAGTATGGTATGTCTTACATTACTTTTTTGCAGCAAAAAGTATATGTGATTATGGCACGGACACTTTCTATCGAATAATTATAACATGCCATTGAATCTCCAGCGTTGCATACCATTTGTTTGATATGCGAAATACAATTATCTAATTAGGTACGTTAAATTCACATAATGGCCTTGTATGTACTCACGACGCGGTCTCTCAAATGCTCAAAATCGTCTGGTAGTTGTTGCGTAACGCCCCTTCTAATAATTTGTCCTGGCATACCCAGGGTTACATGTACAGATATTTCGTCTCAACTTAATTCAAGATATAAAGTTCTTTGTCATCCAAAATTCTCATACTAACTATGAATTAAACGGAGTTTTTCTATGTTATCCGTAATTGCAATGATTTGGTGTAGCTTCACCATATCACATCAGCTTTTTTAAGTTCCCACTGCAAGGGCTCAGGCCTTCCTTTTTGATTAAGAAGGATGGGTCCTCCACGCTAACCCAATGCAGATTGGAGGGTATTAACGACTGCAAATGCAGCATCGACTTAACGTGCCTTAGCGGAACCAACGGCTTAACGTGCCTTTTAACGGAGTAGCTCGAGATAATAAATTTTTGATCACCCATCCCGTGACCGACTCTTGCGAAAGTTGCTTCAAAAGTACGATCGCAACCCGCGACGCGTATACACTACGCCACCAATCTACTCGCACATATCACAGCCTTATAATGTTGCAATTATCAATATCTATCTGCGTTGATCGATACGCGTTTTATAGCACCGTTTCGACACGCATCCGCATGGCTGCATACACAGACAGCGTGGTGTAATTTTACATTTCCTATTCAAGCAATAAAATGTCTGTACATATGGTTATTTTTTAAAGTTCACGTTTAATACCTTCGTATTATACTATTTCATGTAATCCCAATCTAGTTTATCATTGGGATTACTAATTACGATAATTGCGATTATAACAAATACATAGTACCTTTTTTTAACTCAGGGAGAATGCAACCTTAATCATTAAACCAGGGCTCCAACTCCGCACCGGTTCTGTAAAGGACAGTCTTTAGCGAGGCCATACTATCTGTTAAAACCCGCTGCGAGTACCCTCCAGAGGGGATGGATCCGGCAAGGAGCCCGCCGGGTCCAGCACCACAATACCTAGTACCCACCTATAAAACAAGGTCTCTTCACGCTGTCTTTACGCTGCGATCTTTTAAAGACAAAGACACAACGGATTGTTTATATGTATAATACAGGACAGGCCGCGGGCGATGCCACGGGCGGAAAGCTAGAATCGAATTGTGTTACCAATAGCAAATAGTCATCATGTATTGAGTCACTGAGTAATTGCATAAGATGTATTTCATAGATACGGTAATGAAAATTATCTTTTGTATGTAAATAATAGTTTATGCAGTCAACAAGTCCTTGTATTCTCTATTCCGCTAACGCATGGCCGATTTCAACCGTTACACGCACAGCTGAGGGTACAGCCATTAGTCATTCATTTCTAAACAGACCTTTAACCTAGTTTCAGTTAACGTTTTTACATTGACAGTAAGTTTCAATGGTTTTTATATAAAGGTCTATGTCGTTAAGTTCAAGGCTAGTAAATGCTACTCAAAGAAGTCATGTTTACAATTTGTTATTAGCAAATAGTGCAAATATTTTCAAAAAATACCCAATCGTATATTCACATATAGTTTCATAATTGTTATCGTTTCCTTTAACCTAGGGTCGTCTGGTAGAGGTTGTTACCTTAGCAATAAGACCGCCTTTTGTGTTACTGTATCTGGTGTAATGTACTTTTTGAATGTTTCATAGTTTAATAAAGAATATTCATATCATATCATGATCGCTATTTTTTATTGTTACAGACAATATGCCGTCGTTGCTAGAAGCCCTAGAACGTAAGTATGGCGCGAAAGGCGAAGTAAATCCGTCTATTGACGATATGCCGGTCGCTATATTCGTGCCTAAGCGGTCGCCACGGCTAAGCGTGCCAACGCTGCTGGTGCTTAATGACTGCGAGATCGACTGCGCGGGTGAAGCAAGAGGACTCGCCGACAAATGCGCGGACGTAGTTGAACTCGATCTTGCCAACAACAAACTCACCGAGTGGAGAGAGGTACCTTTTGAAAGTATAATGCCTACTGATGCTAAATATTTATTACCGTGAAGGCTGTCACTGTGGCAATGACCGTAATGTTTCCATTTTCTTATTTTTATAGATATTCGCGATACTTGAGCATACACCGCGTGTTCGATTCCTTAATCTAAGCTTCAACCGTCTCTCAGCTCAGATTCAAGCAGCGCAGGCACTATATCCTCGATGGGATAGTCTCAGTCACCTGGTCCTAAACTCCACATACGTACGCTGGCCGAGTGTACACGCGCTACTCAAAGCTCTTCCAGCTCTTGAAGAGTTGCACTTGAGCCTGAATGAGTACTCGTATATAGATTTCAGCGGAAAGGACGTCAATGAAAAGGAAAAATGTGAAGACTGTTCCCGTCTAAATGTGGAAGTGACAGAACCAGTTCACGATCAGTTAAAGAAACTACACTTCTCTGGAAACCCAATCAGTAGCTGGCGAGAAATATCTAAATTAGGCTACGCATTCCCTAACTTAGAAACGTTGTTGGTTAACGACTGTCCTATAACGACGCTAGCGCCAGATCCGTGCGACAAATGTTGCGATAGTAATGGAAATAAGAAAAGTCACGACGCATTCTCGTAAGTAGCCTCTTCATGACTTTCCACACGATCCTAACACAATATACTTTAAAATGATATCGTAAGAGAAATAACTGCATTTACTGGATTTTATTTTCTTGTCCGCAATACTTAAAAGAAAAAGGAACGCAACACCATTGATTCTCTGGTTTTAGAATTTTCATGACAAATTCCTCGATCACCCATAACTCCATCTTTTTTCCTTGAGACCAGTGGATCGAAAGTAGAACTACTGTTCTAGGTGTCATCAGTTAATTCTGACATTTATTACCCATCTATTCCGAACCCTCAACCGCTGTAGCTACCAAATATGTATTTTTTACGAATCCCATAAGAACCACAATGTGATACAACAAATTGTACTTATACTTGCTAAATATATAAATGAAGCACTTCATAAATACAGTTGGTGGAGTCTGAATGTAACTGTAAGTAGAATTTATAAATAAAAAATGAGTAAATAATGTAACAGGAAATATTGCAAATCATTCAAACCTTTTTCTAGTAACGATTTACTTCTGATACTTGTTATTCATTCGAGCTACAATTGCTACACGGATTTTATTTTAGTTCACTTTGGTGTATGAATTTAATGCCTCAAATTTGAGAATAACTTTAGTATCAAATGTTATCTTATCGTTATCGGTATTAGAAATAGTAAAGGGTACTTAAAATTCTATTGTCGATTGTAACTGACTCACTACTGAAGACAGTTGACATTGAAATCCCTTTATGTGTTTGTTATTGCGTTATCACTATAATGGTATACTTTATGCTTTCAGGCGTCTCCGATTTCTAAACCTTAACAACACAGACCTCTCAACGTGGGATGAGGTGGATCGGCTATCAAAATTTCCTGCTTTGAAGAGTTTACGAGCGCAAGTAAGTGTTCAATGTTCCGTCGCTACTTTGTCCTTATCTTATTATGTGACCATAAAATTTTCCATGTGTAAATAAATAAATTCTAATAAATATCAAGTTTTATGTTAACTCAAATGAATAAACATTGGGTATATTTTTACAATTTGGAAATTATTAACAGCGACTTTGAAAACTTCATTTAATGTTTGGTTTTAATCGAAAAGTATTTTATAATTTTAGATACTTATTAAAATACCGCTTTAGTTAGTTGTAAAATATATTTTCGCGATTGTTTTAACAAGGAAGTTGGCAAGTGCCGATTGCTTAATCCGTAATGACATAGCAATCGGCTTCAATGTCATCGTAGACCGAAATCTTATTGTGTCGACATAGATTAGTATAGTCATCTCTATGAAGGTAAACCATTGCTTTAAATCTGAACTTAAATGGAAACTCTTCGACATCGGCTGTTCTTATTATAATAATCTATTTAGAAAATGCTTCCTGCTGCATCTATCTCTTATCTAGACTTTATGATCGGGTCTTATAAAAGATATTGGCCATTGCTTAAAGAAGAAACATCAACTTTTACCGAGTTTTCCAGTTAAATCACAATTGACTGGCCATTAATCATCTACTTCCTACAATGACACACATACTGAACTACTAAACCAGTTGGCTGGTGCGATCTCACTCGTGTGTGCCAATTTGCGAAATCACATGAGCTTAGTACCCTTCTAATTGTATAGAGCTGCGTATCGGTAGAATTGCTGGATAAAATTATTCTCATTGTTTGCCAGTTTAGTGATGGGCAAAGCGGGACGGTTGTCTAGTGAAATTTGCTGCCGAAATATCAACAGATGACTTGGATGACAATAAGGAATTGCGGACTAACTTTTCCTATCGTGCCCATATAATATGCTGTTGAATTCCAAGACACAAAAATTGTATACTGTCTGATCTTTTTTCTTTCTTTGTAATGTGTCCTATATTTGTGCAATAAAGAATATTATTATTATTAAGCAAGAATAGCAAAATAAGTTATGCCGCCATAAACTGGTGAAGCAAAGGTCACATGGGAGAAACGAATACAGAAAGCATCACACTCCATTTTCAAATTATTTCCAAAGCAAACTCAATTCCATTTTAACTATAACTGATAAAATTTGGATTTGGATCATGTGTATAATATTTTTAGAAATTTGGTGTACATTAGCTTCAAATGTACAATTTAGATTCAACAATAAAAAAATGTTTATAGTGCAACTGTACACTTTGTTTATCGAGCTTCGTTTTTATTAATCCATCACTATTAAATTTTATTCGTGTAACGTAACGTCCGTCGCCCCTCGGGATCTCGAAATGCAGGTGAAGGTCTTCCCGATTTAGCGACCTACTTAACACCACTGCTTACGCAATAGTATGCCAAATGGTTGGCCGCACCACGTTATCGAGGAAGAAATACTAATCCCATTCCTATTATCGCTTTTAATACTTGAACGAATAGACAGAATCAAGTTTACTATCATAAACTTAAAGCGGCCCTAATAGACCCTTTTCCTAAATATAAACACACGAAAAATAAAAAGAGTTGTATTACATAATTTGTGTTTGTAAAAAGATTGATTAATAATTAGAGTTGTAAAAATCTTGCACGATGATAAATAAGAGCAATTGCGCTGTTCGTTTCTTAAACGAATTGCTTATCAAAAAAAAATATATAAACTGCATTTATTTCAGCTGGCAATCATGTAATATGTAAATTTTCCAGTGTCATTAACTAAAATACACTATCGAATTGGTGTAGTAATGTTGTTTCGTCATAGACTTATAACTGTGGCGTTTGTTCCGCAATCTTCTCAATTTGCACAACAGTATACAATAGCTCCTCATTAGTTAATACTTATGTCTAATCTTTCTTTAATTAAAATGTATTTAATTGTAAAGAATATTTTGATATCAGCCTGTGAGTATATTACTTCTGTTTGGATAGAGTAACGTGATATGAAAAGCTTTATGAATCACATTCCTTGTAAAATTGTATGTTGATCTTCACTGGCTTCTAAATCCTTGAAATATTGTTTGATATTGTATAATAATAATCTACATAAGATTGGCATTTTTACAAAACTACCGTAAATACACGTCGGTCCTTAAAAAAGTACAACGAATGAAAATTTATTTTAAAATTACAACAATCTGTCTTTCTTATCATAAACAGTAAATTAAAACTCTGTAAATATGAATGAGTTCCGTGTAGCATTTACATTATAATGTCACGCAACCAAGAATGTGAAAGTGTACACTAGATGTCTTTAAGACTGCCGCGACTATAACTATGGGGTTCTGTGATGTCCTCAATCACCATGACATAACATCGATGTCAATTAGTTATCTGTTACAAACATGGGATGAGACAGATCAGTATCGATCTTTGAACCTCTTCTTCTTAATTAATATAACATATTTAACGCAACATTTTATGCTCTTATTAGCTGCAAACTATCTATGTAACGAGAATTTGCATTGTAAATCGAGTTACCTTACCGAACTTATTATTTTAAGTAATTATTAGGTACACAAAATTAGCAAATGATATTATTCTTGATAATTTTATTATTAGTAGACATCTAATCATCTTCTTCGGTCTACGGGATTCTTCGCAATTCGATATGTAATTGTTTCTCATTTTGTGTGCGGAGTCTCTGGAGCTCAGTCATATACTTACGATCCCATAGAGTATGTGCTCTTCTCGATGCCCTGGTAAGCCCAGATTTCAGAGAGTCTTAACTAGCTGTTTCTTCAGCTTTCATACCTCAATCGTTTGTACAGAGGACCGTCGGTTACACCGAAATTAAAGAGGTGTCTGTTATTCGTAATTGGTGAACAACGAAATGTACAAATATCGAATTACACTGCAACAAGTGCGTTATCTGATAGTAGCACATTTCTAAAGTGACTTCTGTAATTCGTTTGTACAGAATTGACTATTTTATAATAGTTACTTTCACTTTTAACTGGTAGGTGATCGAATGTGAAGTTTGTAATATTCTTTAGTCGCCTAAATGCGTAAATCTATAAACATGAAAGTCCACAGCTAATTTATATCGTTGTTATAGCTTAGTATATACTAAAACAAATCACCGTGCAGTGGAAAAGACCGTTGCGATGATTCATAAGTGGTTCGTGTTCAAATAAATTTATCGGGTGCATTGGGGTCGTTCACATTTACAGATGAATTACCTGCCGACCTTGTCATATGACCGGCGAATGTATGCATTGACATTCGTTTTTTCTCTCATTCTGATATCTGCGCATTGGTTAAATCGAGCACTACTTTACAAACTGATTGTTACTCTAATTTGTTAAAATTATCAAGCAAAGTATGCCTATATGTATATAAAATTATTTAATCTACATAACATCGAAAAATCAAAAAAGCTGCTATATATTATATTAATTCACTGTCTACCAAAATTACTCCGACCATAAAGGCTGTCTGAAAATGTCGAAATACAGATTACAGAATTAACGGTTGAAATATTTTGCAATGAACAGCAGTGCACTCATTGCGTCCGGTTGGATCTTAGTTCTTTCACTGTCGAATTTTGATATTTTAGATGATGTAATTTTGCACACTCTAGATATCACCGAACTTTTGTTATTCTTGAGTGGCTTTAATTCGGTAAATGCTTATTGACTATATTTTCGACTGTACACGATTGAATTACCGATGCTTCATGTGACTCATGTCATTTCGGAGGAGCAACGGTCGACTTTGTTTCTATACCTGCGCCTACGCATTTTGCGCGGTTTATATCATCACTGCAGGTATTTTTTTGTTTATTGGAAACTTTTTATCCATTTAATTTTTTTGTTCTCCTTAAAAATTTACTATGCGATATATTTATTTTGATAGATTGAAATGATTTGACCACAAGTTTTCGGAATTTGGTTCACTGAATTTCGTCATTTCAGACTTCTTCTGATTCTTCTATTAATTTCATAATAAATCAAATCAAATCAAAATTATTTATTCAGTCTAGGCTGTTACAAGCACTTGTGTAAGTCGAGAAAAAAAAAATATTAAAATATATTATAATAGTAATATTTTTTTATATCAAATAACACAAACATTGTTAGTACCTACATATTTTAAACTTAAAACTATGTTAGTAACGAAATGGTTGATTTTCCATATTAAATAAATAAAATAAGATGTGTTTTTTAATGATTATTCGTCCCAAACACATACTTAAAGGTACATCTTGTAACTTACAACAATCCAAAAATCTTTGTTTTCTTATCTAATGCAAAGAAACCCAAGTAAATAGTGAGAGCAAACGGAAATTTCGTCATGGCAATGAGTCGCCTCGATCCCCGAATATACCTCCGAGGTGATACTAAAATATGTATGGATATCGACGGAATAACTTTGTTGTACGACCCAGTAACTGTTGAATTGCATACGTTAGCAGGAAATGTGCACGTCAATAGAATATAATAGTCCCCTTTTAGAATATGAACTATTGTAGAGGTTTGAAAAAGATATTCTACTTCTTTAAATGATATAGAGCTTAAAATCTTATCTGACAATGTTTAAACAAAAACATTCAAATCTTACTTAAATTTATTTGTCTTATAATGAATCAATGAAACTTTATAATTATTCATAAACTACCTAAAATAAACAACACACTTATTTTTTAGAACTTCTTAAAGTCCGTTTTGTATGTCCATTATTTTCTGTTAGCAAATTAAAACTATATGTATGAGATACCTAGATCGTGTACATTTGTAAACTAGTAACAATCACTAACAAAGCTACATTCTGGTCAATGACGTAATCGCGTAGATTCCACAGTGCTATAAATCAGTTACATACGACTTCTATACTGAACATGAATACTTTAAACATTAACTTTGCGCTAATAAAACAAAGAATATCCAACCCAAACCTTGATAGTAATTTTTACTTTGGCATAAAAATCTAATACGTAATAAACTTTTAATTGAGAGGATGAATGAATCCCGTTGAATCTTAAAGTTTACATAAGTACTATTGTAATAGTAAAACAATGGGGAAGAATGTGTTAGTGAGTTTCCCTCTTCACTTCCCTCCTGTGTTAAGTCTGCCTGGAGTCCTTTGAGGCTCTCCTCGCCAAATTTTTCAACTAGGCCTAAGAGTCATTCGCCACCCGGCTTAAAGCGGATTTTTTTCATGATCGAATCAGGGCCAGTCGAGAGGAGAGAGACCTCGACCCTCCTTTACTTCCAAGAGCTTCCTCGAAAACTCATATTATACTCATTGTTTAATTTCACCTTTTTGGGCTACCTATATTTTTGTTATTATAATATCATTACAACTATTTATTTAAATGTTTCTGAACATATCCAAGGAAAGCAAAAATCGAGGGTAGGTCGGTAGCATAAATGTCCCGACATGAGAAGTCTGTTTTCTAAATTTTTGAAGACAAGTTCGGCTAAATTAAATAGAAGTATTTGTTAAGCATCAGAAATATACACTGAGAATGAAAATTCTGCAGATAACTTTGCATTAGCTTTGTGGTGGACGTCGTGACGTGACCTATGCATGCAATTACTGTAATGTCTGCCGCGTTTGTGGGTCAACTGTCCCTTTAACCAGTTCACGGCGCGGAACACTCACTGCTATGGTTCATTAGTCCCTTGCGATCGAAAACCACGAATATGACGTATTTTAAACGGAATTTATTGTAGGCGCATTAAAATATGGGGTTAGTTTTTTTTTTATTAAAAGGGATACAAATGATTTTAAAAATAAAAACATGTAACACTAAAAATAATTAAACGTTTTGATAAAAACCTACTTATATAAGTTCGTAGCGAATAAGTAATAATGAAAATTGTTATTGCCTCATTAATTGCGCAGTTTACAATTTGTATCATTTTTTAAACAATATTAATACCTACTATTATAGGTACGTCTATATGTGACTCATCTAGGTACAAAGTCAAGTTTACATGTTCAAGTCATTCATAATACGGGAAATATACAATAGAAAACCTTAATATCTTTTGTTGGTTTCGTTATACCAGTCCACCAGTCGGAAAATATCATTAATGTTTTCTTTTGTACAAAAAAAAAACAATACGCAAACCAGTCCGATTATCATGTGTCCGTTCGCTTGTAGACTCGATACGAAATCGATATCAATACTTAATGATTCTGAACCACTGTCCGTTAACTCTGTAGAGTGGAACGGAACGAACACTTCGAAATTCAAAGGCAGATGTCATGATTCACAACAATGTACATATACGAAGGGAGAACTTCTTCGTAACCGAATCAAGCGAGGATCCAGGTTTTTACGTTCTTTTTCTTCATCTAAACAATGCGTCAGCAGCACACGCCGGAGCAGAAACAAAGCATGCGGTAATTGATCTTCTAAAGGATCATTTGCGTGATAAGGCGTTCCTTCTGCCGTATATAGACGAAACGAGTCTTCGAGGTTGCAATCGCATATAGCAAAGAAAAAAAAACAAACATGAATAAATAACTAATAATGAATAATTTTTTCTTACAATATCCTCGAAATAAAAACTTAGACTATTATTAATTTAAGTTTTCTTATAGCATAAAAAGCGCTATTGTATGTATTATTATTCCAATTAAAGACGTAAAAGTAATATAAGATTTTTATTTAAATTTGAGATTACAAAATCAGAATTACATATTAGGAAAAGACTAGAGAGAAAGGGCTAGACCCACCAAACACATAGACTATATTAATATTTGAATCAATATAATATCTCGTGAAATGTGAATAAATAAAATTACCAATTGCAAAATCAACAAGGTATAACCCTTACAAGGAAACTTGAACCTTAAGAAACCTTGAGACGAATAAAAAAAAGTATATGGCGATCGAAGTTTTTGTTCGACTCCGATACTTTCGTGGTTCCTGAATCGTGACTCGGAGATTAACCTTATCGTTGTTATGAAGCAATAAAGAAAACCGCCATGTTGTTTTCTCAAAGTAATCGAGTAAAACAATTACCATTAGTGTCGACCTAGGAACGGGAAAACAGGTGTTCATCATCTCGTCCTCATTAAGTCGCATCGTGATGTTTTCACGTGAGCCGAGTAAATTAGCATCAGGTATCATCTTGTAAATCAGATGTAGAATTTATGTCGCCATGACATCCGCGTTTATTTTGTACCCGAGTTTGTATTTGGCTTTGAATTTAACCTACCGTTTTTACTGATGCAGCACTGGCTTTTGTTTTTGCCGGTGACGGAGGACTTCCATAATTTGACAATGATTCAATAATCAGTTTGGATTATCAGTAGGTATACTTTGAGACGATTCAGTTTATAATACAGTTTTTAATTGGTTTTTTACAGTTTTTTATTTATATACTGGATTTATTTGGCGTCGTTACATTTTTTTAAATCATCCAAGCCTATTTTTAAGTTTTATATCGGCAGAATTTATCGGTAGCAGCCATTATTGAATATGCCGCCAAAAAAATACAACAGGTTTTATGTTTCCTTCAGATGGGCATACACCTGAATCGAGTACCATACCGATGCCCATAGTTAGACATTTCTTTCATGCCCCAAGGTTAATACATATTATTTTAATAATAAAAAGAAAACAAAACAGGGTATCTTACCCTGTTTGGATAAATGTGTTTATTCCTTTTACCTCTTCTATCATTATTGTGTAAAATTATGGCAGTGTTACTATTTAAACTTGACCCGTAAAAATTACAGTGCTATTTAAGGTCAGAAATTCTTGGAAGTTTATTTGTTATTCTTCAATTTTGTTTGGTTTTTTATCCATCATATATCAACCCCATTTCTTCTAAGGATGTTTCAAGTGGTTATAGTAATACAAAGTTGCATTCACGGTATGAATTATGTCGCAGGGCTGGACTTTATGGGAGAGATGTGATTCTACGGAGCACGAGAGGCGGCTGTTGATGGTCGCGCGACTGCCACACGTGCGGACGCTCAACGGCGGCGGGGCAGTGCCGGCTGAGGAGCGAGACGCAGCTGAACGAGCCTTCATACGGTACTACATGGACAAGCCCGAGGCTGAACGACCAGACAGGTGATCGTCTGATAACATATTAACCACTTATCGAAAATATCCCTCTTAATTTTAATATTGTAAAGGAATGTGACTTCACATAATATATTATCGATAGCTCAGTATAAGATAGGAAAACCTGAAGAAAGCATAAGTAATACAAGGGTCAGGTGCAAGACAACTATATTGACAAGTGAACGATTTTAAAATATGGAACATCAAAAATCTAATACAAAATTTACAAAGAATATAATTCCAAAAAGATTAAAAAAGTATAAACTATGTACAAAAAGGATATTATTCATAACATCCTCCCCTTTTTAGGTTATGGGAACCAACTTCTTGAGAGACCTCTTTAGTTGGCCTCCTGTGGTGTTGACGTCAGCGATTCTCGCTATTCCGTCTTAATGAAGTCACATTTCAATAAGACATCTCTGTTTGAAATAAAACAGGGAGAAAAAGGCAGCCCTTGCTGAGTTTCTTGCCGGTTCTTCACAGTACGCCGTAGCTTTGCGAACCGATGGCGTAGTTTTCGACTCTCACAAGTGCTTTGTAAGAGCCTAAACTGATAATGTTAATAATAGACAACTTCACGTAATTATTCAGGTTCTTTGTCGACTGTTTATATTTTGCGTCTCCTGTGGTTACGCCAAGTAGTAGAGCTGCTGATCCTAGGGAATCTTATCAACAACTTGAACGATGAAAAATAAGACTATCTACGACAAAAATCGAGAGAAAATAAAGAAAATTTCGCCTTTGAACCCGATAGATTATGACGTCAGAGTCGCCTTGTCAGCCATTACTATAAAGGTCATTAATATCACTATCATACTTATCGCCTATTTAGTGCAGTCGTATGTTGATAAGGTCAGCTGTTAATTAAGGTCAAAGTTGTAACAATTCTGCCGTTTTTAATCGTACGCCTTTGAATATCAGCAGTATTATTATATTTGATATATTCGGATGAAGGTTATACATAAATATGGTAATTGTTGTGGGCGAAATTATCACTTACAACAAGACGACCTAAATGGCTAAAGATGTATGCTAATATTTAAATTTGCTTGTTTCAATCTATACGTAATATGTCGACACTGATTTTTATTGCAACTGTGCACGGCCGAATTCCTTAATGGCTTCAGCTTTGTAACTATGTGGTTCCTTCTTGTTGAAATTAATTAAGATAGTTTCTGTTCTGCTCCCGTTTTGCTTCTACTTAGTAAAGTTTACAAAAAGTATTATAATATGACTACAATGAACACCAAATTATTTATTTTTATGTCGTTTATTGGTAATAAAATCTTTGGCTAAACTTTTTGCGCACACACATGTGGTAATAGCATATTTTTATGTATTATCTCAAGATTTTCTCGAATAAATTCTGCATGTTTTTAATCATGTATGCAAAATCATGTGCTTTGCTCACGGGAACGGCAAATGGTGCGTCGCAAGCGTAAACATATTATGTTGTAAAATACAACGCACTAGGTTTCCATCCCTGTCATAATAGGCGGAAATCAGACGCCTAGATCGCCCAATTACGCTCTAAGTATTTGAATCATTCAGATTGGCCAATATTTGCCCTGATTAGAAATTCACCTTTCTGCTCAAACTACCTCAATATCTCTCGCAGTTGTTTTTGTATTCTACCCTCAATATATTTGAGGGTAGAATACAAAAACTTATTAATAACATCGGTGAGCCACAATAGTTTTCTTATATTGTACCAAGGAAGGCCACGACACTAGCTTCACATTCAAATCTATCACCTGCTGTTAGGTGAAGCCATAAAACCCGGCGAGTATGTAGGAAAATAGTAATGAAAGTAGATAAGGCGAAAGATGTATGTAAGGAGCGTACTTTGTGGCGTTTGGTCCTTTCAGCCTACCCCGTAAAGGAGATTATAGATAGATAGTACCTATCTAATGTATATTTAATTTGTTTCCAGGTACTGGGAGCTCGTCCAGGTACATGGCAAGTTGGACCCCCTCGTGTCAGTGGATCTACGGCCGGAGAAGCGGGTGCAGATAACCTTCACTTGCGGCGACACGAGCGAAGTTCGCACCGTCGATGTTTACAGGTATGTTACGTTTTTAGAGTTCCATTATCCAAAGGGTAAAACGGGTACCCCATTACATAGATAGTTGAAATTTTCACAGATGATATGTTTCTGGTGCCGCTTCAACAACAAATACTAAAAAACAAGAATAAAATTAATGTTTAAGGGGATCCCATACAACAAAGTCATTTTTTGCTCGTTTTCGGTATGGAACCCTACGCGCGCGAGTCACTCTCATTTTGCCGGTTTTTTACAGTCATTGATGATATTTTTGTAGAATAAAATAAAATAAATCTTAGGTACTTAAAATCAAAGACGAAGTTTTATTTGTTTAGGTATAAATTAATTTAAACAGAAATTAATAGTGACAACGACAAAGACAAAAGATTTTTATAAATTAAATAAAGAATTTAGATATTTTTTGCATTTCAATACGGTCTAAAAAGAAAATTTTAGGAAATGAAACGTGAAGTACTTGTAGATAGACTATAAATTCTTTATTGAAATAAAATTATTGGTTTCAGAACTGTGTCGGATTTGAAGTCTCGTTTAGAGCGGCTAGCCGGCTTCCCTGCGTCCAAGATGAGATTGTTTTACGTAGATCAAGAACTAAGAGACACCGAGGTATTTGAATTTTGTTTAAGTTTAATTCACATTATATATACATAGCTAATATAAAATGTGTTTATTTAAAATCATTTTCTCTGTAGGTGCTACTCACGTCGGGTTAACACAATGTCAAATTTATGCAATTGATTTTGAACCTCAATCCAATGCGTTAAGGTTTAAACTCAAGTGGAGGAATTTGATAGTTTAGCCTAACATGTTGTTGACTATACATTCATCCATTTTAAAGAATCATGCCCACTTTCCGCACATTAATTGAAGTGTCACATTTTTTTAAGTCGTGTCTAGCTACTATTAGTAATAATTTGCTTTAGTTTTGCTTCAAATATAATAATAACTAAAAATCTTTTCAAGTAGAGGACAAGAAAATTTATAATATGTAAATAATATTTTGAGGTTATAGTAGTCATAACTCGAGATAATTATGAAGCTACTTTAAAAATTAATGTATTAAAAATCGTGGAAATCAATTCAAAAGTTATCGTTAACGTGATTTTTTTAACCTCGTGATGAAATATTTTAACGTAGTAAACAAAACGAAACGTGACACAGCGTTATTGTACAGTCGTATCACAATACGATTCGGACTGTACAATAACGCTGTGATGTGACGAAACACCGCAGTGTTTCATAGGTCTTTTTAAAAACAATTATGAGCCTCGCAATTCCTATCCTGGCTTTATTTTAATACTTAATTATACGGTATGAAATAAACTAAAAATCAGTTTCACTATGAAATGTTTCACATCACTAGACACGTTAGTTAATTTTTAGGTTAAAACTCTTAGGTCAAGATTCCATCTATACTCCATTCATTATAGCATTAGACAGAAGTTAAATAAGGTTCTTTTTATGGTATACTTTGTGACTAATTATCAATAATCATGTAATTCTTAAGAGTGACGGCTAATTTGCTACATATCCACTTAAATACCAGCTGCTATACTTAACTGTTGTCACTTAAGCTATCTATTAAACAAATTTATGAGTATTTAACTAACTTAAATGATTAATTAACATTTACAATAAAAAGTGTTCATCATAAAGAACCTAAAGAAGCAGGGTTGGATAGTTTCGGCACGATTCTCATGTCACTATAATTCTACCAAATTTAAAACGTTTATTTATTGTAACGTTTTATTGTAAGATAACATTCCGTCAATAGGGATGACTGGGTAAAAAAAATATTATTCTATTAAGTCCGTAAGTCAGATAATAAGATACATTTTTTTTTACTTCAATTTAACAAGAAACAGCTTAGATAACAGGCATTAATATTGAGGAGTGGGGACTCGCTACGTCACAGTTTAGTAGAAAACGTACCATAAAGTGACGTCATGCGAAATTTCAATTCCATCTAACGTCGTAATTTAATGATTACGAAAAAAATAAAAAAAATACGTGTTTAAGATTTTTTAACACTCTACCTGACGAACAAACAAACAAAAATTAGTCGTCATCCCTATTGTCAGCTCTATGTTTTAATAATCATTAATGTTGGTATTACTTTCAGCTTTTCCCCGGACCGGAGGAAATGAAAATACCCACAAAGCAACTATACTCTTATAACATTAGGTCTGGCGACGAAATAATAATAGAGTCCAAATTGCAGCACTCTATATCAGTCAAATCGTCCGCGTGAGACGTAAAATAAGATTTAAATTGTTTCGCTGACTGAAGGTTGGTTGCATTTCTGCATATAGCATGATCTACTTAGGAGATAAATCAGGATTTTTTTTTGTATTAAAATACACATATATTTTGTTACGTTAAAAACGTATTAAATTTTATATTCAGAAATGCGACAATCTTCTTTGTAAGCAACTTCCAAATCAGACTTTTTATGCCATGTGACTTTTAACGTGCTAGTGAATTTCATTTTTATTTGACCTTGTCCATTGTATTTATTAATTGTTCTATGTTCAGTATACTAACACAAGTGAGTAATTAATGTTTTTAGTTTTCTTTTTATATAAGATAAAAAGAAATAAGGTAATGATGCCTAAGAGCACAATATTTGACAGCCTAACTGGTAAAAAAAAACAACGAAACTGTCCTACGTTTTTACTAGATAGTTTCCTTTTGTACAGAAATAGGAAAAATTATTCTTGAATACACTGTTTTAAGTAAATGTGACTTAAGGCAACATTACCTTAGTACTGTAATCACAATCTGAATTTACTATTTGTCACAAACAATATAATTTTTAAGCTTTTTCGCCAGCTAAAACATTATACAAAAGGGAATTACAGACTAGATAGATAATAGCTATTTACACTATGTATTGTATTGCCATTGTTTATTTTTTCGTAGACCAAAATCAAGCGAAAAATGATTTTATTCTGTATTTTTTTTTTTTGTATTTGCAATAAACAACTGTGATAATAAATTTTAATAGATGGCTGAACTGAAACATTACTTTATTACTATATTCGTATATACAAAACGATTAAGTTACGTCATTAAAAATAAAAACAATTATGTCAGCTACTTATAATATGTAAAAGTATGCTTGTTAACAAAACTTAAAGTGATACTAACTGCCATTTTACGAAAGTATACCATATACAATATACGTTTAATTATCAACAAAAACATATGAACGCTGTCCTGTACTTATCTTAATTTTTAGTGACTATGCCCAAAAACTGTGATTCCTAGAATTGCCAAATATAAAAATAGTTCTTCAAATTATGGAAAAATTATATACGAATGAGATGGCAGTTCTATAGGTGACAACATTATGCAAATCATTACCCATTGACACATTTTTGTTTTTAGTGTTAGTACCTAATAAAAATAAGTGATGATGAATTAAAGAATAATTAGGTGTAATTATCACATTGTTTTATTACTCCTAGTTGGTTTGTTTAATCAATATATAAACTTTTTCCATAAATAGCTAACATTGCATTTTGTACTTGTTCCATAATATGTGTGTAAACCTCAATCCAACTTGCACTATTTATTTCATTAATTCTCCGTTTTAGGAAATTTACTAATATATTTAAATTATCTATTTTTCTTTCAACAACCATCGTCCTCATATATTCACATAACATGCTGACATCGCATGGTAGAGGAGTTTGCTCACTATCAAGCCAAGCTCTGAGCAATTCTCTAACTTTTTGCCATGAAAGACCCAATAATCCTTGCCCTTTTTGGTCTTCAGCTTCAACTTTGTCACATACCCTTTCTTTATCTATTTCAACTTTTTTTACCATTGGATCTTTATATGGAATGTCTCTAAAAGGAATAGTCTGTCCTTGAAGAAACTTATTCATTAAATTACGGGAAGTAGATGTGTTACATTTCCGAGGTCTCCCTCGCCGTCTTATTGGAGATCTAGCAACTCCTAAAACAGGTGACTTTTGCTTTAAAGGTGAGACAATTAATGTCTTCTTAGGTGAAGTGACGGACTTTAGACTACCAAGTACACTTTTATAATCTATTGAAGTTTTATTATCGTTTCCTGCATTATTGTCATTTACAGGTTTATGAGAAGATAGAAATTTACTTATAGCTCCTTTGTTTTGGTTTGCATTAATAGTTTCCAATTTGGTTATTTGTATCCCTATACCCCTCATTTCTTTCGCATCTATATTTATTTTTTTATATAAGGAAACAACTTCTCTAGCTATCACTTCTGAGCTGTTTGTTGCAGTTGTAAGAGATGTTGATTTATTTATAATGTTGCAAAATCCATGACCCATAAATTTTGCTGTTTCCACAGGGGCTCGTTCATCTCTAACCATAAGCTTTAATGTTATACATTTTCCTAATACTTTGAATTGTTGCATTCTTGTTTGGACTTCCATACACAACTGTTTTAAAAATTCCAAACATTGTTCAGTATTCTCAAATCTAATGCCATAATTTACTTCTGCTGATACTGATTTTCGGATTGTGTGGTATGACAAAGGGTTGGAATCACGACCACGACATTGATCAAACAACTGAGCACCAGTTTTATTCCCTAAATGATGTTGTAGTGTTACAAGAGTTAAGTTTTGTAAAGAACCGCATGTTTGGTGCCCAAGAGATTCTAACTTATAAGCAGTTTGTCGACCAACTCCAGGTAAGTCTTTTAGTTTTATCCCCACCATGAAATCTTCGACTAAATCTGCTGTTAAAAAGAACTGCCCATCTGGTTTTGCTTTTTTTGTGGCTAGTCTAGCCTGAAGACGATTTCCACCGAACCCTGTTGAACATGGACAGCCAGTTTTTTCTTTTATTTCTGATCTTAAACTGGTTGCAAAATCTTGAACACTCATGTTAATATCGTTAATGAGTTCAGTGCAATCAACATACATTTCATCACATGATACTGCTTCTATGTCTAATGTATATTGTGCAATGGTATCATACAGAGTATAAGCAACTTCTTTGTATCCTTCAAAGTCATATGGTATTGTCTGCAATTCAGGACACAATCTTAATGCTGGCCCCATAAACATTCCATTACTTACACCTTTAGCTCTTGCTTCATATGAACAAGAAGCTATTTCACTCATAGACCCAAACTTTGCACCTTCATCACCAATATTGTCCACTCTACTTTCAATCTTGGTCCTTTCATTTTCACCAGGTTTGCTATATTTCTGAGCATATTTTTGTTTATAAAGATTGAACTCTGTGTTCCTATCTACTCCCTGCCTCTTAGGATGTGTTTGCTTACCCTTGGAATGGGTTACTGCAACAGGTTTGCCCCTAAGATCTGGTCTAGTACGTAATCCAACTGATACAAAAAAACAATCCATATCAATATGCATTATAATTTTTCCCCTTTCAAAGTATAATTGTGAGCTGTTCATAGGTAAATGTAGGGAAAGAAATCTACTCTTTAATTGAGTACGAGCAGGAAACATGAATTTATTATTTTCCCGAAGATCATTTACATATTGCTTAAAACAAGCACCTAATTGAGATATGTGATGTAATCTAGAGTTATTATAAAACTCTGATATAAAATTAGGATCGGCTGCTGTTTTTATTAGAGTTTCTACATTCTTTGAATGATTTGTTGGTATGTTTTGTTTCAAAATGTCACTCTCATTAATTTCATCTGTAATAAATTGTTGTTCTGTTAAACATTTGACATTGTGTTCTGATTTAGAAGTATCACCTTTACTTTTATTTTTGAGGAATTCAATTTTCCGTTGTGTTCTCGAATGTCTGAATAATAAGTAATCTTTATAATCAAGTAATTTATTAGAAGCTATACTGTCAGTTATCCATTCTGGTTTAACAACTTTTGCTAAAGACATATTTTTTACTTTTGTATCGGGTAAGTTTGAAGCTATAACAAAATCTTCACTTTTCTGGTAAATGTGGTATACACCACCATGTTTAGACATAAGATCTTTAAGCTCGTCAGCTGAAGGAATAGTGAATCCATTGACATAAATGCTTACCCCATCGAAGATTTGACTCAATTTCTGATCGTTACCAGCTCTTTGGCAGAATTGTTCTTCCAATTTTGCAATCTTTGCCTGCATATAACCGCCCCAAGCCTCAAAACCATTATCTGGGAACTTTTCGTCTCGTCTACGCATTGCGGGAGCTTTTAACAAATTTTTTCTTATCAATCTTAGCAAAAGACAATTATATGACACTTCATTTAAATAGCTAAATACTTACACTTTGACCTATTTTGATTGTGATTTTAAAGAAAACATGTGTACTCTGTGCATGTGCACTGCAAAAATATAGTATACCTATTATAGGTCAGCACAGGGGAGAGGGGAGTGTAGGAAAAGCGCCATACGAAGTTTCCTAACCATTTAATTAAAATCTTATATCCGGGCCTGGGATTGTGCAATCTAAAATAAATAATAAAAATATATTTATTCTAACAAAGCAGAATGATTTTTTTTGGTACTTTATTTCGTAAAAATTCTAACAACTGTAAAGAAAATTATCATGGCACCTAAACCAATCCTCTATCTTTCATGAAAGTTTCACCGTTTTAAAGAAAGTAAAATTCACATTACGCATATTACACAGCCATAAAATTTCTTTTAAGAAATAAAACGTCATAAATTAAAATAAAGACAAAGGGATCTTTGTTCACAGCCTAGCCTTCGGTAGGGTACTTTAACTACACTAGATGTCACTACGTACTTTCTTGATTTCTCCATGACAACTCTCCCGGTTTTCTTTCATGTATAAAAGTAAATTAGTTTTCAAAACTCAATAAGCAACTCATATTCTATTTGTACCTTTTCGTATTTGTATTGATATCTCAGTTTCGAACTTTGCATATTTCAGTTTTTTAATATGTTAGTTAAAAGGAACGGAAATGACAGTCTTTGGTCGATTCGTTTCCTGCAAAAATCAACTTTTGCTAGAGTCACCATCTAGTGGAGGTGCTTTTTAGCGCTTTCTTTTTTTTATATACTTCACGAACGCGGGAATATTCCGATAATGAAATTTAGCAAAAAGTAGTTAGTTAAAAAACCGAACCTTATGAAAAATCTAAGGGACGGTGGTTGATATTTCGCTTAGCTCACTTTTCAGCTGTTATAGGTACAGTACTTCGTCCTTGCCATTTGTACTTACCATAGACCAGACAACATCCAACCTAGGGTCCGACAATAATAAAAACAAAATTTTAAGGTGGGCTGAATGGGCCAAATCCATTTGCTTAAAAACAAATAATAAATATTTTTTAACTGTCAACTGGATTTCAAAATAATTTATTTTGCTTGCTGGGCTTTATCATTATTGTGATCATTATCTTTCTTTTCAACACAAGAAAGAATTACATGACCGAGAATTACATGACATTCAACCACTAAAATGTCTGATTTTGAAGATGAAACTGTAATAGCCCCATGGGTAGGCGCTACTAGCTACAAGAATGCGCTAACTGTTATCATTTTGTCTTCAAATGTTGAAATAATAGAAAAAATTGCAGATGCCCTTGTAAATGTTCACGCCAAGAGACATTTCAGATGGAAACTAATTGTACTACGATCGTTCCATTTAGAAGAAGTCGTTAGGCAATCAAACATAACTGGAAAAGTTGCCATTGATTTCGTTATATTGGCTATGGACACTAGCAGAATATTCTGTTTGGAATGGACAAAGAAGGTGTTAAGCCAAGTTCATCCAGACCTAAGAACTCGACGAGTGATCCTAGTGAATGCTAGCGGACTACCAGTTAACAGTATGGCCATAAGTGTCAGTGATTTAGTTAATTTTTATACAGAATTAAAACTGAACATGTTGACTGCTAATGTGTTTAAACCAGAAGATGTAACATTCTTATCAAGAAAACTTTTAAAATACATTGAAGTGTCTTTTGGTACTAAGACAGGAATTCCTAATCTACATGCTTAGTATTAAATAATTTACAGTACTATATTATCGCCCAGTTGCACTAAAATTAATTAAGATTAAATGATGACAAAGCCCAAATGAATGTTCTAAATTTAACAATACAATTTTATTGGAGATTTATACAATGAGCAGAATGCCTCTTATACTCATTTAAATCTGCCCCTGTATTTATATTTCATTAATTTTACATTCCGAATACCTGTTGCATCACAATGGAACACTTCGATGATTTGGAAGGTATAGAACATTGGGTTCCATCTTGCATATTTCTCTACCGCTTGCTAATATAGTGTTTAAACAGTATACTACACATATGTATATAGTATTTGGGGTCTCTTACCTGTACATGTCATAAATGGTTTTAGGAAACAAATCTAAAATAATATTCTTCCATCATCTACAATATTTTAATAATTGTAACTATGTTAAGCAAATCACTAACTGCCAATCTTCATTTTAATCTGAAAAACACCATTTTTGTCCTTGAACACACAGTTGCAGGGTCATTTGCATGATTAGGTTCTTATGTTTGGGCTTTCTATCTCTGGTGATTTAGATATGTTTTTGTGGAAATTTCTGATCCAGCATAAGCAGTACCAAAAGGTAATAACAATGATCTGTACTATAGAATTTATAGTTGAATATTAAACAAAAAAAACTTTATCTGTTAATCCCGTAACTGCGATAATCTCAGTGACGGACTAACCACGTCTGAGGCCCGGGGCGGCAATAGCTCCAGCGCAACCACTTTATTTCTAACCGAGGCAGAAACTTGACTTTGCTCCCCCCCCCCACATCCATTTTTAAATTTATTTTACTATTATGAGTGGATGGCTACAGCCATTTGGAAGTCCCCCAGGACCAGAAGCACGGGGCGGACCGCATCCCCTTAGTCCGCCACTAGATAATCTAACTACGCTTTAACAGTGTATTGACATGACTTCCTAAGTTGTATACTTAATACTTTTTAAATACATACTTTACTATTCATGAATACATGATGACGTTTTTTGCTGAACAAGCGTACGCTTTACGGGACCAGTTTCACTTGATTGCTGATAAAGTGCCTGACAGCTGATCAGAAACTTATCTGCCAGATAAATTGCAAATTTTGGTTTCACAAGTTTCAGATACAACTAACTGACGGATAATATTAGTCACTTGTCAGATGACCTTATATGTTGGATAACTTTCTGTAACTTTATCAGTTAGTGGTAAAACAGACTCTTAGTTTAATATTGAGATGCGCACCATTTGAGAATTGTAGACTTAAAGGGCGGGTGCTTTTGTAATATACTTTTATGAAACTTGCGATTGTGTCCGTGTATGAAAAAAACCTTTGTATATACCACTGTTGGTTTCAAATAAATATGTTTAATTATCTAATGCATGTTTATTTTCTAAAATAAACATAGTGTCCCTCAGGCTAGCAAAGCTGCACTCTTGCCTTTGAAATGAATTCCTTGATCAGTCCCTTGCTTATGTTCTAAAGCTGGAATGTTTTTGGAATACTTACCAGATATCTAGCTGTGGCACTGCCATAAAAAAAACCAACGTCATCCCAGCAGTGCCACAAATACTCTCGTTTTTCTCAGAAACTATGTAACTTGGATATTTGTCCCTAGTTCGAAACAGACTAATAAGATAAGGGACTAGATGAATCAATAATCCATTTCAATATAAAAGAGGGTAGCGCTGCCAGCCTGACAAATTCTATACTTTGAACTCTGTATGGATAAACCATTAATCAATGTGTCTCGACCACATTAAAATATTATATTTTCCCATTGATTTAGTATTTTAAATCTAGGCTTCCTTCTTTTTCATATCAGTTTATTATTATGTTAAATTAAAAAAATAAGTACACATTTCCAAATCATTTATTTATTATTATACTTTGATTGTACTACAAAATAATAGGAAGATTTCTACAGTTATTACATTATATATTACATAAATAATGAAACAATTATAGCAGTTATCACTGGTTGATGTGCCACCTTGTATATGAAAAGTAGAAGACCTTTTTTTATAAAAAAAAACAATCTTACATACTTCGAATGTGATAGTAAGGTAAAATAAACCAACTTAATACTAACTGAAATACTGTTTGCTTGTAAACATATTCATTTTTAATCTATAAATAACATAATAAGCATCTATGAATCTGTAAAAGAATACAATCTTCATAGCGATAGACATTCAGATATTTCTCATTCTAAAAATTTGTTTTAGCCTTATAATGCCATATCCTCAGCATCATTTCAACTGACACTGTAGGTAAAATACATATTAATTAAATTATTCTAAAATATAACTATAATTGCTGCATCTTACATTAAAGTCACGATGGTGACTAATTTTAAAAATAAACGTATACAAAAATTTAATATTAGGCAATATCACAACTAAATCACCTGTGGTTACCAGGCCAAATAAATATTAGTATAATGCACACTATGAAATATATGCTTGAAAGTGAATATAAAATTTCATCAATTAAGACATATTTAAGCATTCATTACATAATGCAAGACAATCTCAAGCATATAACGCCGAAATTTAAGCATCTATGCAATTGGTTTCATTGAAACAGCACTTTGTATAAGTGATATTTTTCAAATCTATATGTTCATAAAGAAAATTCATTCGTACATTATATGTGCATGATTTTTATACTTTGTTTAATAAACCTAATATAAGTCATAAAATTCTGATAATCCTTTTTTCCAACAACTCTCTCAAAGGAATAAATGATTTAATAAATAAAAATGTTGAATCAATGTTATTAGAGGTTTATGACCGATATTTAAAAATGAAAAAATACCGTAATATTATTAGAAAAGAAACTATTGAATTTTGTAGCATAGTTAAACTGCAAATATTACTATCCGAATTTATGAGATATAATGAATGATAGTAACCAAATTAAATTATAAACGTTTGTGGCATAGAATCATATAAAAATAGAGATCACGTGACACCCTACTACAGACAAATAACAAATACGATGTATACATAAACCAACGGATAACATCAATTTTAATATATTGGTGTTTTTGTTACATCAATAGCATTATTATATCGCTAAACTGTTATAATTATGTATATTATAGTATTATAACGGGTGCGTACGATCGTGCAATGGATAACGAACGTGTTACGTCTACCTCACTGGTAAAACGTGACAAACAAGTCGTCTAACTACTGAATTATATTTGTATTATACCTTACACCTAAGTTCCTGTACTGAGAGAGATATATTTAAAAATTACCAAGCCTACACTCGGCAGCGTCCCGCGATAAAGGCGTCAATAAAACTAACAAAAAAATAAAATTAAATAAAATTTAGAAAACCTTACGCTACTAAATACTACTATAAATCTGCTGCTTTTCAAATAATAATTAAATGTGTTAAAAATCACAGGACGCGTTTAAATTAGAATTTTCTTCAATTGTGCCATCTCTATAAATGTTTATACAATTCAATGTCTTATTTCAAAATTTGCGGCATGAATAAATGCAGCTCTTGACATTCAACAGACATTGTAAATTTTATTTTTTGTATATTTGACCGGAAATCTAAGGAAAAAAACTACTGATTCTTCGATATGTGGACAACTCATGTATTGAAAGTATTGCATTTAGGAACCCGCCTATAGATATTGAATCGAGAGAATTTCCTTCAAACTCAATCATATACTCGAATACAGTAAAACACGGCGAGAGGACGAAAATCATGCCAATAGTTCAAATGATAAAACGAATAATGAGATTCTTGATATGTGGTGTTGTAGCGCAAGCCTGAAGACTATAAGCTAATCTACTACCACTTCAACATCAGTCCACCGTTTGGCCTGACGTCACATAGTCCCCTCTCACGTGGTCGCGTTGTCTTGTTGTGATGTCGGAACCCAGCGACGTCCACCTCGCTCCATTACTATGAAGCACCTATTATATCGTTTCACTGTACACGTCTGTTCTAGTTTACTATACATTTTTCGCGTATTACCTGAAAATAAACAAATGCAGTTTAGAAAATGCGGTCGTCATCATGTAATGGCTAATTGATTTTTAACAATAAGTTACAGAAATGGTACCTTATAACAATAACTACTACATTTTTGTGTTAAAATAAATTGCTTATATCCAAAGAATTTAGTAACTTAATGCGGGTGTTGACAGTAAACAAAATTAAATACATGTTATTATTATTTTTTAATTCATTTAGTGTTTAATATATTATAAACGATAATCACACTTATGTGCTTATTATATTTCTTAAATTAATTATGTAAAAACAAACATTTTGTACTCATTGTCACGTGACCGCAATCAGCGTGTGACGTGACGCCCCTCTTACTCATATTAGCACTTAGAGGATTGAACCGAACATATACATAGAACGTTATAGTTTCAGAGGGCCATGATGTTATAGCGACGCCATGACAGAAGTAAGCATTTTGCGGGATATTTTGAAAGCTAAATTAAATTTATAGATTTTAAACTTATTAAACGAATGTTACTTTATAAAATATTTTCTATATTTATTTAATGTATATCTATAAAATAAGAATATTTAAAAAATAATTGTCTTTGCCCCTATTAGATAATTTCACTGTAGGGATATTGTACCTATCAAGTACTACAGAAAAGATTGTCTATTTTGTTTTCGCAAAATTAACTTGTTATTTATAATCTGTTGATTACGGAAGGCCATGAGTCATTCATTACCCATGACAGAGCATCGTGTATCGTGTGTCAAGTGCAACCAGTGCTCATGTTTATTAAAATGTGACATCACAGATTGAAATGTCACGTGATTGACTGTTATCGCGAAATACTGTAAATTAATTAATCCTTTATTGTGACTAAGACTTTTAGAATGTAGGTTTATCAATTTTGCATTCACAATGTACAACTGGTATATATTTTTAATAAAAAATGCTTAAATCCACCAGTTTTCATAAATAACATAGGTTTGGCTGGGTTTTATGGGTAAGGTAAGCTATTTATATGGTATGCACGCCACTGTCTATATTGTCTCGAGCTACTTCGTGTTTCAGAAGGCACGTTAAGCCGTTGCTCCTGGCTGCATTTGCAGTCGTTAATACCCTCCAATCCGCATTGCCATGGCCCATCTTCCTTAACCATCCATAAGGAAGGCCTAAGGCCCTGCAGTGGGGACGTAAAAGGGCTAATGATGATGATGATAGGGAAGGCCCGAGTCCTAGTAGTGGGGAGATTAATACACTGGTGGTGGTGTGCGGCGGTGGCATGACATATAACGTGACAGTATACTGACTAGTCAGAGTCCAGGTTGACCACGTCCTGGTTGCGGTGGCGGTGCCATGACATACATATCACACGCCGAGAATGATAAATTCACTAACCAAAAACGACGTTTTCTTTGTTCATTATAAACTTTAAAATGTAAAGATCCCTGTGGACGCAGTTTGCTTAGAAACTGCTAGGTGGCGTAGTGACGATACGTTGTTTAGAGGGGTCGATTACAATTTCTTGAACTTTAAACGCTCATTACTCAAAATCGCATTATTTGCATTGTGCCACTAACGTTCTCAACGTAAAGAAGAAAGAAAGAAAGAAAGAAAGAAATTTATTGACCCACATACATAATCGTTAACAAGAATACAGTAAAAAAAGAGAAAAATAAAAAAAAAATATGCGAGGCCAAGATGGATCCCTATCTCAGCAAAGACCCTAGTATCGTTCATAGATGGGCAGAATGATACTAAGGGCGCTGTTATTCTGATAGGAGCCTTACAGCCAGTTGCACAAACGTTCATTAAATTTTTCATTCGTTTAAAGCGACATTACCCATACAAATTTGACATTCATTAGTGCTTAAAGGCGTCATTAAATCTTAATGGACGTTTGTGCAACTGACCATTACAGTTGCATCATTAAAAATAAAATAAAATAAAAATTATATACAAGAAAAAAGTAAATAATAATGTGCATATTAAGATATATATACAATAACACGATATATATTATATTTAAATAACCTATTCTCTCCCAAATCACCAATGTCGAAAGAAAAGAGAATAAAAACTGCGAATACGGCTGTATGGAAATGATTCCTCAGCCAGCTACTACCAAATAACACATAAGTGACTTGACTATGACTCACTCGCTCGCTGTCACTTTCCAATTGAAACAATGCATATCTTAAGAGAAAAACATTTATCCCTACCTACGTAATTGTGTTTCAACTTACATGTATTTACGCTGAAATTGCCACGTTTGATGCCACGTGTTTGCCACGTTTATAATATTGGACATGCCTTTGCGGATATCACACGAAATAATGACGTGCCAAATGTGTGCATTATCAAGGTTAAAAGACAAAAACAGATCGAGCCTGCTGACCTACGCCTAGTGTTTCGTGAGAAAGCTCAAAGGTGAAAGTAAATTCATTTAATAATTAAAGATTGATTCTGCAACATAAAAAGATACTCTCTGAAAAATTTTCTAAGTGCGTATTTTGTTTTTAGATCACGTAATGGTGGAGGGAGATCATTCCAACACTTAGAGGCAGCATATCTAAACGATCCGCGAAAGGCCGTAGTCCGATGCTTAGGGGTTGAAAAGAGATGAGTTTTAGCTCTTTTCGGATATCTGCTGTGCTCCTGCGCCCATTCAAGTTTATTGAACAGGTAATGCGGTTTCCCTGTTTTGACAACATCAAACAGCATGGTAGCTAAGTGCAGTTTCCTACGTGCCTCCATCCTCAATAAATTCGCGGCATTCAGATATGGTGTTACATGAGAACGAGGTGGAATGTGGAAGCAATAGCGTGCACAAGCATTCTGTATACGTTGTATGAGTCTAGCGGTTCCAGACTGAAGACATGGTCCATACACCGTGTCACAGTAATTAAGCTTGGAGAGGACAAGCGATTCACATAGTCGAATACGTAGCTCTTCAGTTATATATGGCCTTATTTTATATAATAATTTGAGACGATAAAAGCATTTTCTGGCACATTCCGAAACATGATGTTGAAAGTTAAGATGGCTGTCTAGAATTAGTCCCAAATTTCTGACTTTGTCTACTCTATCTAATCTTTCTCCATTTAGAATTATGTTGAAGGAACCACAAGTATCATTGAATTTCGTTAATTTTTTCTTAGTGCCAAATAAAATTAGTTTGGATTTTTTAGGGTTCAGGGTAAGGCAATTGGACTCGCACCAAGCAGCTATATGAGCTAGATCATCATTAATCTTTGACACCGCAGTAGAATGATCCGTTGGCAAAAATGGTAGAAACAATTGCAGATCATCAGCATATAAATGGTGATAACAGTTTGGGATATGAGCCGTGATGTCAGCGCTATATAGAATATAGAGGATGGGTCCCAAGATAGACCCTTGAGGAACGCCACGCACCACAGGCAGTTGAGATGATTGAATTTTTGACCCATCTGCATTCGTTAACTCGACATACTGCTGCCTATGCGAAAGGTAACTATGAAACCATTTTACTGTTTTTTCATGGAGTCCATAGTATGACAGCTTTGACAATAGTAGAGTTGTATTAATGGAATCAAATGCCCGTGAAAAATCAAGCAGCAGCATGGCGTTGATCATCCCACCATCTTGATTGGTGAGGAGATTGTCGACGACATCCGCTAGAGCAGTTGCAGACAACGTACGATATAACGCGACAGTATACTAGTCCGAGTCCAGGTTGACCACGTCCTGGCGGCGGTGGCGGTGGTGGGTGCCATAACATACACATATAACGCGACAGTATACCGACTAGTCCGAGTCCAGGTTGACCACGTCCTGGTGGTGCGCGGCGGTGGCGGCGCGCGGCTGCAGCGGCGGGCGGCCGCGCGGTCGCGCCCGCGCCTCCCCCGACATGATCTCGCGCGCGCGCTGCTGCTGGAGCGCCATCGCCACGGGGTCGCGGCTGCCCAGACCGCCGGCGTAGTACTTCGCGCCCATTTGCTGCCGAAGATTCATTACACATCAAAATATATATATATCGACGCTGGAAAGCAAACACGTAGTAACAAATATATATATATATCGACGCTGGAAAGCAAACACGTAGTAACCCGCAAAACCAAAATTGTTCTTTAGAAGAGAAAAACCTTTTTTTTATAAATAATTCCTATAAACGTCCATGGTAACAAATGAGGTATTCCTTAATTAATTTATACGGAAATAAGTTTTTTTTTTTTAAAAAAAGAGGTAGTGATTTACCACTCTGAATATACATTTTGGTTTTGCAGGTTACTACGTGTTTGCTCTCCAGCGTCGATATATTTCCCTTCATTTATTTATTTACTTTTAGATAAAAATTGTATAATACATCTTGATCCGTAGACCGAACGTATCGGGTCGCCGATACGATTACGTTAGCTCGTAGCACGTAGCACTATCGTCATAGTAACGCGAACTCGACACGATAACGCTCATGACGTCATCCTAATCACTACATAGTATAAAACAAAGTCGCTTTCTCTGTCCCAATATCCCTATGTATGCTTAAATCTGTAAAACTTTAACAAGGTTTTTTTTTTCATAGATAGGGTAATTCAAAAGGAAGGTTTTTATGTATAATACAAGACCGCGCGGGCGAAGCCGCTAGCGGAAAGCTAGTGTAATATGAACGAGATCAACTGAATGGACTACAGACCATTTTGAAAGAATGTTGTCTTATGAAATTAGATCTCTTAGTATATGATAATTTTTACTCGAGAATCTTTAAAAAAGTTCAATTGAAAATTTTAGAAAACCACTAAAAATATAATATGATACTTTATACCATATTGTATTTTACTATACGGTATAAAGCATAAAACATTTTTCTCTGTGTTAATATCAAGTTTTAGAGGCATGTAACGTATCATGTTTTAAAACACCTTTTGATTTCCGAACGACTCTGTAATTTGATCTAGAATTTGATGTATTTATACAACACATTTTTGGACGTCGGGTATTGGCTTCATAGAAAAAGAGATTTGTTTAAACTGGTTGGTTTGGTGGTACTCGGGGCTATCATTTCATTTTATTACAACTTAAAGAATTAACACAAAACCTTAATAGTGAAGGATTGGGTGAGTTCAAGTGGCGCAAGATATGCATTGTCATATGGTCGCCCTAATTACTTAAGACTCAAGTTTCAGTCCAATATGTAGACAAAGAAAGTTTATTTCGTTATTTTTAGCTATTAATTATGCTTCAAAGTTTTTTTATGATAAAGGTATGGACTGAATAAAAAATAATACCAAAAATAAATGCGCCATCATTAATTAGTTTTCTTTGAGCTCTACTATTGATTACTTTGATAGTATTAATTAAAATTATAAAAAAAACATGTAGGCCTACATGTTACATAATTGATTTACTTTAATATTTCCTAATATAATATATCCAATGATAACTTATTTAGTAATTTGCGTTGTGTATTTATTTTCCATCATTACCCTCTTAATCTTATCTTAAGTCTTAAAGTAAGGTAATAACATAATGGACAATGGTAAAACCTAGATACCATTTCAATTTTAAAGTCAATTTTAGTCTTAACAATCACACAAAACACTTTAAAATATGGTTGAATGTGATAAAACATTCGTAAGTTTACGCTCACGAACACGATATTTGCTATAGTAAAGTTGTACAAGTCTAGTATACTAACGTTCTGCTGATGCTGCATGAGCTGCTGCAGCCGCATCTGCTGCTGCTGCTGATGCTGCCGCTGCCAGGGCGGCTCGTACTGCAGACCGCTAGCGCCACCTAGCGCGCCGCCACCACCGCCGCCTGTATTCAAATATACACATATATTTTATGCCCGTTTTTATAAGTAAACCGTAAACTACTAATGCGTTGGAACCTTGTCTAAATAACATCCGCATGACGTCATTTAAAAATAGAAAATATAGATAGCGAAAAATGCAAGAGATGAATTATTGAAATATTCGAGAATTAACAATTTAATAACTTTTAGTTTTTTAATCTATTGCATCAAATTTTGGAAAAGAAAGAATTTATATGTAAATATAGAGGTTTATAGGAATATATTTTTCATTAAACATATTAATCCATGACTCAAATCCCTAATTTATCAAGTTATGTATTTACGGAAGCTTTTCGAATTTTTACAAATGTGAATTTATTATTTAAAAAAATATAGCTTCTAAAATGTTAAAGATGTATATTAGTGGCGTTACTGTTACTGTGCTGAATAATAATATGGCATAGACAAAATAAATAGTTAATAATTTATAAAAAAAAACCTAAGACAAGACAATAGTTCGTATCTTAATGATAAATTTAATCTTAAGAAATTAAGAAATACTTAATAAAAAATATAAATTCGATAAAAATAACAACTTATAACTATAATAACTCGTAAGTCAAAAGGGCATACACTAACAATTATGCTATCGCTACTGAGCTAGCGCCAGGTGTAATGTTAATTCTTCAAACTAACATAGAACTTAGATTTTATAAGTTCAGTAAAACTCGGACATAAATAAAGACATAAGATATAGTCTTTTGACACATACATCTGTAATATCACATGGTCAAAGCAAAATAGACTCACCAGCATTCATAACGGGGTTCATCAAAGCAGGATTCATCATACCACCGGGAGGTGCGAACTTGTATATGTCTGATATTTTCTGCATCAACTGCAACACAAAAGGACATCGTTAAACTCAGAAAACTATATAGAAGTAATCTCTTATAAGTTATAACAAATAATACTTGCATAGCACAAGTTGTCGAGTAGTATACATATAAGTCTTTGCCTAACATGAATAATAAATATTACACATTAATATATGCTACTTGACAGTTACAACAACAAATTATGAAACATGTTTATTTTTAATCTGTGAATTACAAGACACGAACAAGACACAAGACACGATCTTGACGGAACATCGTGTGACGTCACATTTCAATAAACTATACGTCAAGTCTTTGTTGCGAATGCAACTAGTGCTCGTGTTTATTGAAATATGACATCACGGCTCGAAATATCACGAGACTGATTATTTTCGCGGGACATATTAAATTAATGAATAAAAATATGTTTTGCCTTTTTGAATAATTCTTTTTGGAGAAAAATAAATCTGATGGTGGTTGAATATGATCATATGAAAGGTTTAAAATACTTTTCCTAAAACAATCAAGTAACGAATTCTCTAAAAAGTTGTATATTTAACGTTTGATTCTTTATAAAATTAAAGCAGAAAAAGAGATAAGAAATAGCATCGTTAATATGAAATAACTAATGTTATTTATATCAAATGCATGTTATTTACACTAACTCGTGGTAAAATGCGTATCATGCAGCTTTAGGAGTTATTCACATGATATTACTACACATAGACATGCTAACTTTACTAAGAAATGTAATTCAACTAACATATTTACAAATAAAATAAATCTCTTCTGACATCGGATCATTTTTGACTTTAGACAGATTCAAATCTGTCATTATAACATAGAAATCAGCGAAAATACTTATTAAATCAATATAAAATGACGTCAAAAATGTGATATCAGAACAGAAAATTATTTACTGAACGCGTAAATTGAATTTTCATAATGCAATATTAGATAAAACATGGCGTAAATAAGGATAACAAAAAAAAAGTGAGACAGAAATATCTACATGTTTAATGTTAACTTACGCCATAGTCATATCCACCGAACATCTGGACAAATAAATTAATATATGTGATTATTTGAGTAATAAAGTTGTATGTCCATAATCGTAAATATGTTTGCTAATATTAGGATTAAACTGAAAACTAGTAAATGAGATATGGTAGATTTTTTTTTCAGATTTGTTAAAGAAAAGAAATGTATGACATTTTAAAATGTATTAATAATAAACAAAAACATAAGCCGTCTTATTAGAAAACAGGAACCAACGTTAGTACTAGGTTTAAACCACATACCAAAATAAGTCAACATGTCTGTTAATGCCAGATAATTGAATTCCTATTAATTTCATACAATTTATTTTCCATAGGTTTGCTTTTACAATACAATTTTTGATAGATGTCAACTATCATAATTTCTTGCTCTAAAAGTACAAACAGCCTGAACACGTCTGAATTTTACGTTATCCCTTCTATCATTGTCAATTTGCTTTGGGCGGCCAATTATTTAAACCACACACTAACTTTAGTCCTCATTCTATAATAAGACAGAAAGATCTCATACTCTTTCCAAATTGGGATGGGCAAAAATAATGTCATAATATAATAATGTCAATAAATAAAACAGTGTGCTCATTGTCATACCAAATCAGAATTTCTCAAACTAAAAATCGCCAGTTATGAACAACTGGCTGGCAACTGAAAAATAAGTTCAGAATAAAATTCATTTCTGAACAGAATTGATTTTGATTTAAACGTTTCTTAATATTACTCATTTCAGATAACACTAAACAAATTTGAGAACAGAATAAACTATATTTTTGAATTTAAAATAAAAAAATTATGTAATAACAAACGAAAATAATTTCTTCAGTCTAAGTTATGGTACTTGTGAAAGTCGAAACTCTATGCCATTCGTAAATCTATAGCGGGAGCTTGTACCGAGGAGAACCGGCAAGAAAGCAGCCCTTGCTAAAGTTGCTTTATTCTCTAAGGAATCACCAATGTCTTATCATTCTATTCAATATGTCATTGTAATTACATCCGTATCATAATATGAATCCTTATCCAAATCAATTATTAAATTATATACGAATAAGTAAATGTTTAAGTTATGTAAACGAAAATGTTACTTTAGTTAATGTCACTAGATGACGCTACCGTATTTTAAAAACTATTTTTTTTATGTTTGTCTTTATTGTTTATCACATTTTTATCAATGTCGGTTTCATTTTCAATTTTGTCGTGTTTTTAATAATATAATTCAATGGGGAACTTTATTTCGGGCTAATTATTCCGGCAAAAGAATATCATATTAAGTTCAGCTCATTTTTTTAAATCAAATGAAGTCGCTTTCGTTTTCGATTATGTGGTTTTTGTTTAATAATACAAAACCTGTATGACCCAGATATGCTATCAAAATTATATTTAAACAACAGTTAATATTTTTTTATTATGTAGGTAAAATCGAAATATGTTATGCATCTTTCATCAGTACTATATAATTTACGAAAAACACGATTTCCAAAAAAAGAATGAGCAAAGCTCGGTCATCCAGATAATGTCTTGTTTAAATAATAATTGGACTGTTTTAAGAAATTGTAACCTAGAATGCTTTTTTTTATTTTTATTTCGTAGGCGTTGTATTATTTAAAGTCTTAGAACTCACCGCTGGATTGGAATTGTATATATGTGGGAGCATGTCTCGTATGGTGTTATCGTTGATATTAGGCATGTCTTTACGCAACATGGCGGCCAACGCTGCATACGCTAACTGTTGCTGTTGTTGAGCTAGTAGACCGGGAACTGTAAACAATATAAAATAATAAAAAGAGAGTAAAAATTATTAGCTAGGTGATTATAGAGTCAACAATAATGAGAAATATTTCATCAAGACCTGTATGAAAAACATCGATCAAGAGTGCGTATGACCGCGCGCAGAGGGTTCGACAAATTTTAAAAGCCATCATTCACAACCATTGGCTTCTAATAGGATTTTACTATAGAAGTAAAATAAATACTTTCTGTATTTTTTATAAACTTAAGATTGTGTATTTTCGTTGATCACGACAGGAGGAATAGTACTTTTTATAATTTTTCTTTGATAACTTAATTTATCTTGAAATTATGAAAAAGCGTTAACAAGTCTCCGAGAATCCAGTTGCTCATTTGCCCCTGTGATCCCTGTTGTTTTTAAGTGGCTTAAATTTGACAAAAACTGAGTACTGACTAGTTCCGTGACTTTTAAGTTGCTTTGTGTTTGATAAAGACTGACTACTAATTATTTCCGTCACCTTCAAGTTATTTCGGGTTTGACAAAGATCGAATACTGATTATTTTTGTCACTGAAGTTACTCCATGTGAGAAGGTCCTTAAATTTAACAAAAACTCACCCATTCCGTTGTGCATGGGCCACGCGGTGGGGAACGGTGCGGGCGGAGGGCGGTTCTTCTCGTTCTCGAAGTCTTCCCACGCCGCCTTACGTTCCTCTTCACTCAAAGTCTCCTCCTCCTTGTTCTCCAATAGGGAATCGTGCTCGTGATACTTGTAAATCTAATGAGGATATAGCATAGATTTTATTAAAAACTAGCGGACCCAGCAGATTTTGTTTCGCCAAAGATATTTGAATATAAAAATATATAAACTTCTTGGTTCTGCCTAACAGTCAACGAATATGCAAAGAATGCAAAGAGTGGAGTTCTTTTTCGACCTAAAAATTTACTAACTCATTTAGTGATGTGATTTATCTCAGAATGAATGAATGAATGAATAAATTCTTTATTGTACACCATAAATTATAGAGAAAATACAATTTATACAGTTTAGTTGTACAATCGGCGGCCTTATCGCTAAAGAGCAATTTCTGCCAGGCAACCGTAGGTTAGACTGGACTGTTACTAAATAGACGGGTAGTAGATGGTGTCTTACATTGCGAGAGAAACATACCTACATATATACATACAAATAACATATACATACCTCTACATATAAATATAATATACTATATATAATATAATATAATAAACATATATAATATAATATAATACAATATACATACAAACATTTAAAATGAAACAGTACCAAGATAAATATAACAGGATGATACGATAGCATTTCTTCCTAAAGTGATAGATAGTATTCCTTTAACATATTTTTAAAACACTTTAATGAAGGAGCGCGCATTATTTCTTCAGGTAAGGCATTCCACAAGCGAACAGCCTGAACTGCAAATGACTTATCAAGGAATTTTGTGGAGTGCACAGGCACCTGCAGTTTTAGGTTCTCCGATGATCTCAAAACTCGACAGTGCGTATCACTAAGGAACTTGAAACGTTCCTTAAGATAAGTTGGTGAGAGAGGATTGAACAGTATACTGTAAAGCAGGGAAACAATATGTGCATTCCGACGAAGTCGAATTGGCAACCACTTGAGCTTAGTGCGAAAATCAGATACATGATCATACTTGCGTAACCCAAATATGAATCTAATACAAAAATTTTGAAGTCTCTCAAGTTTATTCAGTTGCTCCTCAGTTAAGTCTAGATAGCTGACATCGGAGTAATCCAGTATTGGAAGAAGAAGGGATTGTGCGAGCGCAATTTTAGTGGCCACAGGCAAGAAGTTACGTAGCCTCTTCAAGGAACCAGCCGCAGCAAACATTTTCCGACTCGTCTGCTCGATCTGTGGGCCCCATGTCAAATTTTTATCTATAACTATCCCCAGATTTCGTACGTTATCACTAGGGATTAAAGCAACACCATCGAACAAAACTGCAGGTAAACATGAGCGGTTGATTTTACTTGTCATTGCGGGACTGCCAACAATAAAGACTTGGGTTTTCAGTGCATTTACTTTTATGCCATAGGACTTGCTCCAGTCACAAATTATTTCTAAGTCACGGTTTAGCGCATTAATCGCTAGAGACAGTTGATCAGGACAAGCTTGGGAATAAACTTGTAAATCATCTGCATAAAGGTGGTAAGATGAAACGAACTGGCGTGAGATGGAGTTGATAAATATAGCGAAAAGTAATGGAGATAATACGCCACCCTGCGGTACACCAGCGGAAATATCACACCAAGTAGAAAAGCAATCCTCAATGCGTATTTGCTGTCGGCGCCCAGACAGGTAACTACGAAACCAGTCAATAACTGCCGGAGATATGTTAATAGAGCGCAATATGCCAAGCAAAATGTCAAAGTCAACGGTGTTAAATACGTTACTGAAATCAAGTAGAGAGAGAACCGTAACTTTACCATGTTCCATTCCTGATCTTATATCTTCAGTTACATTTACCAGTGCAGTAGTAGTACTATGACCAGCGCGGAAACCTGATTGGTAGGAATTAAGGAGTTGATTTTTGAAAAGGAAACTGGACAACTGGTTGTGAATAAGGCGTTCCAGGACTTTGGAAAGAAATAGTAAAATGGAAATAGGCCTATAGTCTGTGAAGGATAGTGGTTTCGATTTTTTGGGTAACGGGATAACGGAAGCATCTTTCCAGGCTGAAGGAAATATACCCGTGTTTATGGATTGATTAAGAATATGGGAGATAATAGGAAGGATTTCGTCAAGGATAAGGGTAATCATTTTCCTACTGATAGAGTCCACACCCACAGCACTGGAGGTTATTGACATAATGCTCTTCTTAACATCACAGTCAGAAAATTGACGAAAAGAAAAACGTGGATAGTCTGGGCACGGAAGAGATGAAAGATAATCCAAAGTGTTAGACTTGCTTGTTAAATCAAGGCCATGTGAAGACGAGAAGTGCCTATTAAGGGAATTAATATCTAAATTACTAGAGGTCGATTCTTGACGCTGTTTTCCTATGCCCAGAGATCTTAGGAATTTCCAGACTTTTGCTGGATCTTCGACTTCAACGGAGTTGTGAATAAATTGGCAGAATGTAGTTTATTTTTTACTTATTTTATATCTAAGTAGAAAATCTTAAAATAAAGTTAGGATTACTACCCGAATGAGATTCGGACCCTAAAAAGACAGTTTTTTACACTACCTTAATGCGATTCGGACCCCATGACCTTTGCTACGTTTCGTTTCATCTAATACGAAAAAATATTTTTTCGTCATAAGGTAAAGAAAGTGCACATTAACAATTACATTTAGATTTATTTTAATATGTACAAGTCCAAATTTAAAAAACTTTGATTTTAATGCTTTAATTCTTAAAGTGGCTTCAGAATTATCTCTTTTGACAGCTGATATAACCATAAAACATTATTTACAAACTACTTATCTCTCTGACCTCTAGACGAAAAGATGCTAAGATATTATTCTTTAAGCAAAAACTAATTTTAATTACCACAAATGGTGGGTAATCCCAACCTTTAAAAAAACACGTGTCAGGTCAATAAATGTATAAAAAGTGGACATGATTCTTTTGGATTTAGCGTTAATTTAAAATAAACCATAGACAACATTACGTGAATTGTCAGTTGAGTTTTGTTATAAAAATCAATAGGATATTCTACTCTGTTTGAAATAATACTTGTAACTGTTTATTTGAATTAAAAGAGCCATAAAAGAAATATTAAATAAATAAACTATTTTTTATACCCTATTAATGGTTTTAATAAATGAGGACTGGCAAGTCACAGAAAAATAAAATAAAAAAGAGAAGAAAAAAGAACAAATAGAAAAGTTTTACCTGTGCTTCGTGCTCTTTGAGCATCTCAGCGAATAGTCTATCTTTAGGCAGCGGCGGCAACGGACGCGGTACTGGTGGACGCGCCTCAAACTTGTACAACTCTGCGAGATCGTTCTCGGCGTAGTGACGATCGATCTGTTGCTCGTCTATCACTCGCTTAGAGATCGCTTGCTTTGTCACTTGTCGCTCGTAGATTTTCTCTTCCATTGTACCCTAAAAATATTTCAAGATAATATTAAAAAAAAAATATTTTATAATCTGTGTAATTACAAGAATTGAAACGCGGGCAGCCCATGAACGGAGCATCGTCTGACGTCACATTTCAATATCAATTTCATAAATTTTATGACACTACTTTAGAAAATATTAAGATTTATATATTTAAAAAAGTAAGGAGAATTGTATTACAAAAATTTGGCACTAAATTAGTTACATAAAACGTAACAACTTTCATTAGAAACAAGTCATAAACATAAACGCACAAATCTTTGTTATTTGATAACACGAAGTCGTCACTTAGTGGCATGAATTTGTAGGGAGCGTTATCGGCTGACTAGAAGTAGTTCCACAAACATAGCAGAGTATCACCAAAACTATTAATCGCAGACAAGCTGTTACTTTAACATTATTTCTCAGAAATTAATAATAGACTATTTATTTATAAAATAAAAAAAAAATCTCAACTAGCCTATTCAATAACTATCAGATTATATTTACTCAATAAGCCTACTTACCATAGCCAAAAATCTGTATATGTAACATGGCTTCTTCTGTCCGAAACGGTAGACTCTGAATATACTCTGTACGTCATGAGAAGGGTTCCACGACACATCGAATATAACTACTCTGTTGGCAGCAACCAAATTGATACCCAAACCGCCTGCTCGCGTTGATATTAAAAACAACCTAGATGAAAGAATTCAGGAATAAATATAATATAGTATATATCATAACCTATATAAAATTTGTCTTGTCCGCTTCTATTTAATCCATAAATAAAGCAAACTAACAAACACAAAAAGAAAACTTCAAATTGAGACGTGTTGACGTCTATTAAAATGACAAAGCACTATACCCCATTTACAGGTTTACACATATATGAATACATTGTTTTGTCGTAATCGTTGGGTGTTATGCATAAGAGCTAAAGTAACTCTTCATACATTATGACTTATTTGTAATAAATACTAGCTTTCAGTATAATAAATGACATACCATGAAGAAAAAAATCAGGTTAACGTTTGTGTTGTAAAACACTATTTCCAAATGCAGTGGAGGGAAAATTTTAGACCTAACAGGCACATAAAAAAAACTGTAATGCTTTGAAATGAGGAAGTATTTTAAAAAAAAGGATAACACTAAAAAAGCACCTCCATTAGATGGCGACTCTAGCAAAAAATGATTTTTGCAGGAAACAAATGGACCAAAGACAGTAATTTCCGTTCCTTAGAACTAACATATTAAAAAACTAAAATTTAAAAAGTTTGTAACTTAGATATCAATATAAATACGAAAACGTACAAATAGAATATGAGTTGTTTATTGAGTTTTGAAAACTAATTTACTTTTAAACATGAAAGAAAACCGGAAGGGTTGTCATGAAGAAATCAAGCACATACCGTAGCAACATCTAGTTTGATTTCGGGAACTAATGCTTTTATATTTTAAATACATCCTCATTGCACTGAATTATAAATTACGATTATAGATGCCATGGTAAATACCATAAAGCTTCAGATTTATACTTATGAAAATATTATAAACACAAAACAAACCTCGCTCTAGGATTATCCTCTCTGTTGAAGTTCTTACACCAAATGGATCTGTTCTCGCAGGACGTCGAGCCGTCTAACCGAAAATAATCTATGCCAGGCGACCATGACCCTAATTAAAACAAAAAATATGTAGTCTTTTATTTTTCTATTATATTTTAAATCATTGTATTTTTTCGTCATTAAATTGCTAATTTTGTTTTGAAACAAAATTGTAACACAAATATATTATAAATCTCCAAAATAAAACATAGACCTATACACATTAAAGCGAAAAGGCATTGATAGTGTAATTTATTTTTCAGACGGTTTCCTTTAGTTAGGGGAAAAATTACTAATACACAGACATATAAAAATTTCAATATCTAATACTAATATAGAGGCATACTGAAAAGAAAAGATTCAGTTGTCATTAGAATAAATAAGCTTATCTTCGCTTATATATTGGCAGAGCCGCTAAGAACTATTTCAATAGTCTATACTTTAAAAACTTTTACTTCAAATGTGTTATGACACATCTTTTTTATATGTAAAAAAGACAATAAACTCACCCACGTGACCTGCCAATTTTTCATCAATTCTACCCTCTTGTGTAGCCTCATCTACTTTCCCTAAGAAGTGTTCTATGAGATCCAGCGAATATAATGATTGTGAGAACACCAATCTAAAACAAAATACAACACACATCAATGAATAGCCTACATTTGTTAAAGTCTTAAAAGTAGATTTCTCAGTAAATTATTGAATTATTTTATTTTATTACATTCTTTATTGCACAAAAAAAAAGACAGTAGTAGATAATTTACAAGCAAGGGTGGGTTTATCTCTATAAAAGATTACAAGTTTATATAAAATTTTGTTCCACTCAATTTAATATAATATATTAAAATTAATATAAAAATTTTAAAAAATTGTTTGTCGGGTTACTAAGATCGGGCATCGAACAGTTGACTTAGATACTGTAGACATTTCATGTTCAATTCATTTGTAATAATAATATTCAGATTCCAATAGTTGCACAACAATCCATAGCCAGCGGTACTATGGCGCGAATGTTATCTAACATCAATGTCAAAGTGGGAGTGATGGCTAACCTACAGATTTTTTTTTCATGGCCTTGTTCCGTTATACACAGAAATTCTGCCAACATCCCGTAGTGAGGAGTCACGAGACTCGTGAGACTGAACGGTAGTTACAATTAACCAGTTCTTCCTTGAGATTGTTCTTTCTCTACTAAGGACAACACAAAACCAAACAAACCTACAGATGGTATTCAATATTTATCGTCTAACAGTACTTACAGCTTATCCCCGATTGCCTCACACTGTCTAAGGATGTCGAACAGCAATACTAATTTGTGCGAGTTTCGCATATCCTCCAGTTCGTCGTCGGTCACTAACTTGATCCACCACTCTGTCGGATTCTCGGCTTTTATTTCCACTACTTCGTTGTTAGCTTCGTCATCATCCAGTTCAACTGACAAAATAAAATAAATATGTAAAGAAATTACTGTTAAACTCCGAAAGTAGTCAAAGAGTTGACTGGAAAAAGAAGTGTTTGTTTTTATTAAAGTATCCATCTACCATTTACTTTCATAAGACAGCATGTTACCCAGATATAAATAGAGCTTAGTAACCAGCATTACCAGGTTCTTAGGGCTAAGCAGGAACTTCAAAAAAGCATTATTAAATGAATTTTTATTTCATTCACTTCAAATAATATTTTTAAATAAAAATATGTACGTTATAGCATATACTAAGAATAATTATCTAAAGTCTTGTTCTTAAATTAGATGTACCACATATAGCTGAGTTTACTATTAACAGTAGAACAAGGTATATTTTACCAAAATTGGGATGTCTGGCTATGCTACTAATAATGTTATATTTTTATTGGGTTTTTTTCTACTAACAATAGAATGACCTTTATATTGGTATCAATGTTTAACTACAGTAAAAAAAAGAAGAATAATATATTAGCTAAATTAAGTCAAGAGTATACTAAGATTGAGCTGATGTTAAAATAATTACAACAATACCTGGATTAGCTCTGGTCCCTCTACGTGTTGTCATTTTAGATTCCTTTCCTTTTTTCTTTTGAGATTTCTTCTTTTTACTTTTCTTACGGCTATCGTCACTCGCGTCAGATAAATCTTCTGATGATTCATCCGTTGTTGATTCCTGAAGAAATCGTTTATATTGTAAATAGCGCAGAGCCGGTTCTATGGGGAGGAGGGGAGGCAGTAGAGGCACATTCCCTGGGCGCCAGTGTAATGGAGGGCGCCATAATCATCGAATATAATATTGTAAAAACAATAAAGAGATCTACAAAAACAGCTTTTAAAATACTTCACATACTTCAGACTACGCTGGAACGGAAATTTTTGATATTGGGAGTTGGGACTTACATTATTGTTATTGACCATACCTCTGGTGTAGAATCATCGTCGATAAAGTCTATCAATGATCCTTCAGAATCCTCTTCTTCTTCTCGCTCCCTCTACAAAACAATTAACACATAAATGTAATTTTTTTTATTAAGAAACTCAAGAAAATTCCATTCTAATCCACAAATATTTAAGCGGATCGAACGAACGAACAGGCGCGAGTCATATGAAAGCTAGTGGATTTTTAATCATATTTTATTTACATTACGAATCAACGAAATGCCAAAATAATTGTAAAAGTAAAAAAATTAAATAATTTTTATTTAATTAAAAATTATATATATATTTGTACTTTAATTCGAGTCGAGAGTTGAGATTTCACATTTTGCAGTAAGTAGCATTATAGTTGTTTCTCATATTTCCGAGCATACACCAACATAATCGGTATTGTGTTATTCCAAATTTGTAATAGAAATTAAATCTTAGGTCGTTTAAAATTATGTTCATATTGGGACACAGCTGTTGTTTGTAAACAAAATAAGTATATACACGTTTCTGTATGTCAGTGTTGGACGTTTTTCGAGTGCAAATTTGTTATATCTAGTGTAATACGACACAATATTGTATCTAGTTTTCTTCTATACTAGTATTTAGCAACTAATACATTTGCGATTAAAATTAACAGGACAAAAATGACAGTACTACAAACGAGTCATCTATATTAACGCACTATTATTTAATTGTATTTACCTTTTTCTGCTGCATTATCTCGTATCTCTCAGAGTTATACTTGAGTACAAGCGGATGTGTCCATATCCTTTGCAGTGATTGGAAATCGGGGAACAGGAAACCAGACGACTTGCCCGGCAAAGGCCTAAATTACAAGACATACCTTATAATAAAATTATACTTCCAATATAAAATAGTGAGTAGCTTGGTGGTATTGTCGATAAGGGTCTTTCGCAAGGGTCGGTCGCGAGATGGATGACAAAAAAATATATATATATCGAGCTACTCTGTCCTTCGGAAGGCACGTTAAACCGTTAGTCCTGGATGCATTTGCAGTCGTTAATACTCTCTAATTGGTATTGGGCCAGCGTGGAGGATCGTGACCCATTCTCCTTAACCAACCAAAAGGAAAGACCTGAGCTCGTGCATAGGGACGCAAAAGAACTGATGATGGAAAATATAGATATTTAATAAAATAGATTTAAAGACAAATTTTACAGCATGGGTTTGAGGAAATAGATTTTTAATAAGATTTTGAGGTGGCATGGTTTTGAGGGATTGTTCACGGGGTCAGTAACTGACTCCAAAGTCTCTTTTAATAATAAGTAAATTTAGCCGTAAAGACTTTACCATCACTACAGACTTGTAACCGATTTCGTGTAATGCCGCGTACCAAATAAAAGCGAACGAACAGCCAACGAACGCGTAAAGGACATATAATAACAAACTTTATACTTAAAAAGCCCAATAGAGGTGTAGACATTTTTTTTTTGCAACATATCCAAAAAAATATAATTCATATAATAAGTTAAAATCTGTCACGGCGTCCCTATGACGTGACGGCTCCCAGTTTCAGAGAGCCGTGTAATATTTTGTTAAACGAAGTTTGCATTATCCAAGTTCTGATATGACTAAGAATAGCGTGACGTCACGCGCTGTATGCGGTCACGTGACAACGAGCATCGAATATTTGTTTAATCATAACCAATTTAATCAATATAATAAAAAGTATTAGCCTATGTATGTAGAAAATGTATTAATTTCGTTTACTGTCTACACATGATAAGGAATTGGCTTAAAGTGATTCTACAATATACGTTAGACTTCTGTGGTCGTTCGTTTCGACACAAGCACTGGCGCGGTATACTGACCCCATGTAAATATTCCTTAACAATAAAAATATTTTTCCTTACCGCCGCGAATAATTATCCAAGTAGAATTGATACAATTTAATCTGCACTTCTGTTAGCGTAATGAATAATACATATTCATGTTTTGGTGGCAAGAATGGTGCCAGCACTCCGTAATCTCTTCTCTGAAAAAATGCAAGAACATTTTAAAAATTGCCTGGCAAAAATTAAATGTAAAATTAAGTGTAACATATTGTCAATAATATTAAAATAAATGTATATATCCAGAAAATTTCGTAACTTTAATAAGAAATTCAAATACTGACGATCAAAAAGGTCGAAAGATATTTTGGTATTAAATAATCTAGCTTAAATTTAGGGAAAAATTTAGCGTGGAAGCATATTTGTCCGTGTTGTTTCAGTTCGACGCTTAAGATTTATTAAAATGTGATGTCACAAATTTGATATAATATCTCTGTACTTGTCTGCTAAAATTTTGAATATTCATATCTGAATACATTGTTGGTATTTATTTTAAAAATCATTATATTACACTTATTTATTTTTTTAAATCACATTTTTTCATATTAAGAGCATATATCAGCCCATTAAATAAAGCATTCATATATCCTTTTGATGGTTTATTGTGGTCATTACATACCTGTACGGCTCCATCGAGCATTTTATGTAATACATGTGAACGCCGCTTCATAATCCGTATGTCATGTTCTGTAGAGTCTGTATACTGTCCGTTGGTGATGGGGTTAACGAATCTGTTCAGGTACTCGTTGTACTTGCCCAACAGATTCGGTTTCACAAACTGCACCATGCAGTAATCTGAGAATATGGTAAAATTAGTACTACCACCTTACTGCAGAGGGTAAAGAGATGGCATAAAGAAATTTTTTTGGAAAACCATGGAGTAATAAACAAAAGTTTGTTTTGGTTTTTGTTTCGTGTTAACAGACTATCGTTAGGTTTATTTTATATGATCAATTTAAAATAATACACATTGGCATTTCAAGAGTCACAATAGAATAAGAGTAATCTTCATTATAAAAATATTTTGGTATACAGACACTAGCACAACATTATGTAATTAAAATAATGAGGTTATTGTAATTTTACAGTTAATTCGTACTATAATCGATACTAGTTCTCGAGTATTATAATTCGTTCACTTAACCAAAGTAATGCAAGTATATAAAGTTATACAAATCGCTAACATTAAAAATATTAAGGCCATTATATCACTTGGAATCCAAGAAGGCAGCAACATAAGACAGAAAAAAATTGCATTTCAATAAGAGTAACAGATTCCACCAGTAGCTAATGTTCTGAATAAGCTATTGATTATCTGCGCAGGATAGTTAGCATCTGGCCCATTCTTTTTTCTTTCGCTCCTCAACTGGAGACAAGTTTTATTGAAGTGTTGCATATGTGATTATTATGGTTGAGGATGTACTTAGATTTAAGCGCAGCTGCTACCATGCCTCTTGTCAATAAAACACTGGTTTATGTCGCACCTTGAAAAAAAAACATGCTAAAACAAATGGTAAATAAAAAAAACTCACACTCTTTGAGATTATTCTGGAGAGGGGTGCCAGTAAGTACTATGCGACGGCGCGTGCGCACTCGGTTCATGGATTGTGATAAGCTCGTCTTTTCGTTTTTCAGCAAATGACCTTCATCGCACACCACTAGATCAGGACCTGAACCGAAAAGAAAATAATTCACATTTTATGCCTAAACCTATTTGAAAAGCTGCACTTTTGAAGACAGTATTTTTATTATAATGTATCCTTTTGGTATTTTAAATTTATAGAATAATGTTTGAAAAGCGATTAAGTTAAATCTATCTTAGGTAAATTAGCTGACATTACAATTTATTTGTCGCTACTATAACAAATTGCAGTGAGGATAAGAACATACAAAAAAATTACTAATGACTCATTATATCAAATACTAGCTGCTTTCCCGCGACTTCGCTCACGTAAGTTATTACCAGAAGTCGGAATTAGGTAGAGTTATTTATATACTTGCATCGAAATGTTGATATTAATGTGGACCTTCCCGGGATTTCTAATGGACAATCTTGGACATCTTTGGACATCCGATGTCATTGATGTAAGTTTGGCAACGTCGTGCGTGCAGTAGTTTAAATTGTGTAAATGTAATTTTTTTTATTTAAAAAATCACGGTATTTTTTCTGCTCTTTAAAATTAATCTCGGGATTTGAGGTATATCCACTTTATCCTTTCGCTATATGAAATCAGTGTAAGTACATGAATAACTCTACCTAATTCCGACCACTGGTTATTACCTATGTCACCCACATGCAATGTAATGCAACTTCCTACAGGTAAAAAAAAATATATAATTGAAACAGTATTTTCGAAGCCCTTACAAACCACCACCACCACCAGCCCTTTTACGTCCCCACTGCAGGGGCTCAGGCATTCCTTATGGATGGTTAAGGAGGAGGGGCCATGACCCTCCACGCTGGCCCAATGCGGATTGGAGGGTATTAACGACTGCAAATGCAGCCAGGACCAACGGCTTAACGTGCCTTCCGAAGCACGGAGTAGCTCGAGATAATAATTTTATGGTCACCCCGCGGCGCTTATCCACTACGCCACCGAGCTTACAAACACTTATGAACAAAATTGTAAACTTTACCTTTTCATAGATGTAAGAAAAAAAATCTACTCTATAGTCATAGTGACAAAAGAAATACACTTATTAAACATAAGTGAATGGTGGACTAGCTAAGCCGATAGAATCAGCACATTTTTGTAACATATAAATTTAAATATTAATATATAATTTTGTTTTAAAATGAGCTTATATGATATATGTTTAAATATATACTTGCTATGATTGATATTATAAATTCTTAAAAATAACTTCATGTGGTAAATACATGTTTGTGGGACTTATTATTCAGAATCGCTACTAGAATAATCAAACTATGAATTTCAGATCCGCTGCTCGCAGCCAAGGTATATGAAATCCGATTTCATGACAAAAAAATCTCGGTGGAAAACGAATGAAAGCTGTGTCATTACATAGTCACGCAAACATAGCGCCGCGGGCACAAATGACTTGAAATATCTATACCTGGTACTCTCCTCTAATGTGTCCTATAATTAAGGTTGTCTGGCAGTGATCGCTTTAAGCGATAATACTGCCTTTGCGCACTTTAACTATAAAATGTTCAGTAAACCGTTTATTTTTATGTGTTTATCTACCTGGGTCAACGAGCGCTTCTTGGAAGTTCTTGAGCATCTTCTTCTTGAACTTCTTCGAATTGTCAGCAGAGAGGTTGCGGAACATTTCATATCCGAGCACGCACACGCCGCCGTGTTGCAACCACTGCTGCAGCTGGAACGCACGCTCAGAGTTTTGCTTGTACCTGTACAGTTATTTGTAAATTACTATCCATAATAAAAATAATAAGTTTATTAAATTAAGCAGGACAAAAAAAAAAATTATTCTGCCAAACTGCTTAACAGTTTATTAGCATACAGAGCTCCCTTTTCACATATAGCACTATACTTCTCAAATAAACTATCTGTCACAATTGTGTTATAGAAATAAGAACATTTTAAATAGCATGCACAATTGATCAACTATATCATATTTTTCTAAGTAACATCTGTTGGATTCAACAGATGAGAACTGTTTAGCAGAATGAAGATTAGTAAGATTATTTACTCCTATGTTTAAATAATTGATTTGGATATTGATTCATATTATGACACGGATATAATTACAATGACAAATTCAATAGAAAACAATGGTTACTATGGTAACGTTTTAATACCCTATACAAACTTCCACTCTCATTTTCATATAATGGAACTTCCTGTAGGTAAAAGAATTAGTCTGGAGTCTATTCATTGCAAACAAATAAATAAATAATATTACTATTATTTTAATATAAATATTATTACTGTTTAAATTCCTTCAAAACTTTTAACTTATAATGACAAAAATATAAACCATAAACAGGTGGCGCGAAAGTTTGGACATATTCAAAAGCGTCCTCATGACCATATGCTAAAGGTGTCTTTAGATATAACCCATAAGACACGAACACGCTGAAACCCACAACCATGTAGTGGACGACGGTTCATAAGGACCTGAAAAATATTAATTAAGGCCATATGTGGCAATAAAGCCACATCAAGATATCCGACCGCCCTATCCATGGCGCCCCATCAAGATATCCGACAGCCCTAGGCTAATTATCACATCGCGCCCTAACGTTGTTCACACCTGACGTCTGGAAATGCTGCATTTAATGTAGCTGACGTTTCAGCTTGAATTTAGCGTCCCTAGTTTGTAAAGTAACCAATGTATTATCTTGTATTATCTTCTATGTTCTGCGGCTACGTTTTAATGTTACATTGTATATTTGGTCCATACTATGCTCACTTGTTTAAGAGTTACGGTATGGTTTATTCCTTAGTTATGTATATTTATTTCAATTATATTACAGTAATTTGTTTTGTGAGCTAAATAAATAAATAAATAAATGGTCTAAGTATCCATTCATTCTAAGTTGGAAAAACCAAGACTTTTCAAAGCAAAATTTACCTTGACCATGTATAAAGGCAGACACCACGTTCTTTAGCTCATTAAGCGGACAAGTCATGGGAAATCAATGTGTTGATCACATGTGGAAAACATCCAAGATTGGAGGAAGAAAGCAAAGCTAGCTTTTGCCCTTGGCACAAGTTATTTGAAAACTGACAACTCATAATCAGTAACCATTTATTTACATTATAAGAACCATTATATAAAGCATGTGATAAAAATAAAAAACTATAGAATTGATTAGAACAGAAAAGTTTCTGAAGAAGATTTTTAGATACTAGTTGATAAGATATCAACTATCTGTACTACTACGATATCTCTATGATATTTAAGGAGAATCCGTTCTGAAAGCGAGGTATTATTACATTTTAAAAGCTCTTATTTAACTTTCAATGAATGTTTGTTCAGGTGGAATATTTGAACTCTATTTTGAAGTAGATATCTTCAACTGATTGAGCTGAAATTTTGTATGCAAATTTAGTTTGGATGAAAATGCATGATAAGATCATTCTAAATACAATATGGCGTCACCATCCATAATGACGGAGTAGTTATTTTTAATGCACTTCTGGGTATCGAATGAAAGGGCTCGTTGAGAGTAACTAGAAAAATAATGTGACGTCATTCTAAATATAATATGGTGGACCACACATAATGGCGGAATAGTAATTATTTATGCACTCTTGCAATGTGGATACCAAATGAAAGAGCTTGCTAAGAATAATTAGAAAAAAATGTGACATCACTCTAAATCTAATATGGCACACTATTGAAGTTTCTTATGTTTAAAACATTAACGAAATTAACTGCAAACGACCTTGCAACAACGATGCGTTGACTTATTCAACACCTGAAATGACTGAGGAACCTAGCCAGCAATAGCTAAAAAGAAGAAAATAAAACTTTCCTTTTAAGTTTTAACTACGAACTTGTAACCACATCATACACAATTTACATGATCATAAAAGCTTATCGCGCGATTTACATGTTGTAAAATCTGCAAAATTTAATTTATAAAATTTCAATTTTTGTATTTATGTTACTCACCTAGAAAGCTCATAGACATCTACTTCATAATCAGTCTCAGAATGCTTAAGCCACATCTTGAATTCGTTCACCCAGTTGAGAACAGTTGACAGTGGGCATACAACTAGAACCCTGTTCACAGTTGTTAAGTCACTGTGTGTAAGAAGTGTATGAGTTAATGACACCACCTGAAATAGATATTTCAAATAATTTTAAAATGTACACAAAAATCTTAATCCAGAGATGAATCCATCGAGGATAATGCTTTAGAACAACAGTTCTCTAACTGTTTTTGGAAACCAAATATTTACTCATATTAGTAAAATAATCAAAAGTTTGTTTATTTTAATAACCAAATATTTACTCATATTAGTAAAATAATCAAAAGTTTGTTTATTTTACTTCAATTGGATCATTTGCCGATATATGGTGAATATACGGCCAGTTTCTGAATTAAGAAAAGTCTCAAAATCTCAATTGATCATTACATAAGTTTTTTACTTTTCACCTAGCAAAAAGTCCAAATTTTTATCAAATTGCTATCAACTGATCATTAAAAAAAAAACTAAAAACGAAAACCTATTTATGTGACGTTTAAGTATAGTTTGAGATATGTTCAACTTTAAATACACAATTCACAAACCGGGTGGTTGTTATAGACACAAAACATGTTTACAGCACTTTGAGAAACACTACTTTAGAAAATGTTCAAAAAGTTACATTTAATATTTTACCTCATAGAATTTAGGAATTTATTCAACAACTATATGTAAAAATTACCTGTAATGTTTTTCCGAGACCCATACAATGAGCTAAAATACAGCCCGATCCTCTATCTTTCTTGATTCTTTTAACGCTTTCGAAGCACGCGTCCCACATGAACTTTATACCGTTGGCCTATAAAAATAAAAAATATATATATCAAAAAATTATAACTAATTTCAGTCTTATGAATACACATGAATAAGCACCATTTGAAATTGCCTCTCTATTTGTTGTAATATCCAGAGACACCTAAATGTATTTTTTTATTACACCAATATTTTTCTCTATCACTTGAAAATGAGGCGCTGATATACTTGTGTAGATAAATCCACCCAAGTAGCACAAAACACCATTATATCAAACTTATAATAGCACGAGTCCAAGCGTTAAGCATTATAATAAAATCGTATATCAACCGTATTTCTTTTAAACGACTCTTATACATAAAATTTGGGCCCCCCCCCCTTTGTACGACTTTAAGCTTTATAAAAGCTGTGCAATAGCACTACAACTTTTGTATAATAGCATTAATAAAGTCGGGTAAAAGCATTCTAATAGCCACAAAAACTTTTTGTGACTATATTACAATTGATATGCGTAAATCAAAATTATAATACGTTAATTTAATATTATAAAAATGCTTACTGTTTTATTTCCTTTGTAAAAAAGTATATTTAATAGATTTTAAAAACATATAATCGGTTTAAATTATTGTTTTGTGTAAGTGTCATGACATGTTCTCTTGGCTGGTCTTTTAAGTATTTTTGAATATTGATTTAAACAGCTCGTTTTGTGTGAAATAAACTGCACACATCAGTTTGTGGAGTAAAATATACAAGTTTATGGTGTAAAATACACGCGCCTTCGCAAACTTCCTTTAATATAATAAAAATAATAAAAAATTTAACCTAGTAGCAAAAATTTTTGTTGAATTTTAGGCTTTTTAGCATTGTTTTAACAACATAATTGCTTTTATAGGCATCTGTGCACAAAATAAATGATTATTTACCCCTTTTCATCTGACACAGTTGACTTTAAATATTTTGTAATAATTGGAAAAAGAAAGCAAATGGCGACTCGTAAAATTAAAGCATTAGGTATTCAAATATGGTGTAGTAGAGCTGTTAATCGTATTATGGTTAGACACAAAACTAAGAGCTCGTAATTCACCGTATAACACACTCCCATTTTAGTTACAGCCGTATTTTTACACTTCAGAAGTATCATATAGTGCTTATAATCATCAAACGATTATTTCATTTTTATTTTGATTTTTAAAAGCTTCAATTAAATTAGAATACTCTTTTTTCAGTTTTCATTTATATCCACCTGTTTTCTTTGTTTTTCCCAACGTTTTTTGTCCATGGCGCCAGCGATGCGTATAAAATGCCACTATTACAATACAATACATAAAATAATTTTACATTTTAATTTCACATAAAAAATAATTACGATCTATTTATTACTTCTATCTCTATAAGTAACTTAATATTGATCAAAATATAGCTTAATATTTTATAAAAGCATAGATTAAGAAGATAAAGGAGCTTGAGCTTGATTAAAGACTACTTTAAGAACAAATCGGTGCTAAAGTTTTACGTGTTCTTTATTCAATGTGTATATAGGATAAGCATTAAATCGATACAACCATAGACCATTAGAAAACCTTTGTTTCTAGAAAATGACTAAATACAATTAAATGCACTAAATAGTATTACGTTAATGCTTATATAATATATAATGTTTTTCATATCACCGAAATACGATAACAGCTTTATATTAATATTACCCAATACTTAAATAGGAGTTTTGACATTGGTATACTTTTTTTATTGACCATAATATGGTATTAAGCATTATTAGATAAAATAAATGCCTTTAAACAGATTCGAAACTTGACCAGAGCTGATTAAAAATGTTAGTATGGCTTTAGGACATAAATCGGTACTTATTTTAGTTAATATATTATTTATGTGCTACTTGGGCAGACACAATACAGTTTGTTTATTATTTGGATGATAATAGGACAACAAGGGCCTACTCTGTTTCCCATACTGAATCAGGTCCTACATTTATTGCACTAAAAATTATTGAAAAATGGGTTACTTTGGAATTGTATTATCATTGCAGAGAACAGTAAGCCTTCAGATACTTTCTATTATAGGAAAAATGTATACGCCACAAATGAAACAAATCACAGCTTATGTGCACGAAAAAACTACCTTACTGACTGACTGACTAAACTAACAGGACTTTAAAAATCTTACAATATGTCTATCTACTTTATCATCGCACTCACCTGATGCGGTTTTAGTTTCTTGACAAGGCCCCTGTCCACTTGAATCAGTGGTTCTTTAGATTCTGGGTCAAAGTCCAACACAACCTTTTCTAGGACCACCTCATCCGGTTTACCAGATTCATCAAACTCCAAATTGTTATACTGCAGTAATAAAAAGTATAGTGATTAAAAAAAAATCCAATTATGCTATTCTAACAGTTAAATGGTTTTTCTAAACAAATCATTGAAATTACTATTAAATATAAACAAAGTAAGTTTATTTCCAATTTATTAATGCCCAAGTGTAGTGTTTTAAATTCTTAAAAGAAAAATATGTATTGCTAAATGATAAATATATATTTTTTTTGCAACTTTCCATTTACAACTCACCAATTTTTGCCGTTCAGCAATTCGGGCAATCCTTTCTTTTTCTTCTCTAGCTGCTTTCTTGGTGGCTTCTTCCAGTTGGTTTTTGCTCATTACCTGTTCATGAAAATAAATTCACCACAAAAATTAGAAAAGTAAATAAAAGAATTAGTTTCATTTAATATTACATGAAATATAGGTATTTTTACCTTACGAATATTCTTCCTCCCATGCTTATTCCTGCCTTCATTTTCAGTATCTGATCCAGAGGCATCGCTATCATCCACTGCTTTTATACGACGCCGTTTCTTTTTGCTGTAACAATTTAACAGAACTTATTTATATAATCTGTGTAGTAGATGGCGCATCACTAGATGGCACTAGTATCTTAAAAGTAGCAATTATATTGGACTATTGCATAAACAGAAAAGTATAACTTATATAACTACATTTTACTGCGCTTTACTTTTTTTCATTACTAATTGAAGGAGTTAATGCCTATTTTATCGGAATCTGTTTTCAACTATATTCACCTGCCATCATCAGATGAGGATCCTGCTGACGCATCACTATCATTTTCTTTCTTCTTCCGCTTATTCCTTTTTGCCGGCTCGGAACTCTCATCTTCTGAATCTTCAAAGTCACTAACCTTAACATCTGGTTCCTTCTTACGAGAGGACCCGGCTTCAGAGTCCGATGATATTGCGTTCGCTTTACGACGCTTGGACTTTGGGCTGCGAAGTAAAAACGTCACAAAATGAAAAAAGATCAAAGGTTATACATCTAGGGCTAATAAGTTCCATCTACAAAGCCCTTTAACTGTGTAATCGATAATACTATTGAGATATACTGTCTATGACTGACAGCCAGTTGCACAAACGTCTATTAAAATTATCATTAGTTTAAAGCGACATTATCCACACAAATTTGACATTCATTAGAGCTTAAGGGTGATATAAAACCTTAATGGCCGTTTGTGCAAATGACTGTGCGAAATCGATTTTCAACACACTTTATTTAAATAAAATCTCAAATATAAGTTATACTTAAAGAAAATATTTAAGTAGCTCTTTAAAAATTGAGAAATTCTATAAATTACATATAGCTTATGGCTGTTTTGTCTCGATAAGGTTGTTAACCCCTGGTCTAGGGAATTGAATGATATTATACCTTTTTAGTATTAATAAATTACAACAGTACTACTCACTTTTGTTCTTCTTCCGATTCAGATTTCTTATTTGCCTGAAAAGAAAACGTAAAGTCAATGACCTCATATAATAGATGTAGGATCTCCTTATATAAATATCTAATTGTAGTACCTCTTCTTTTTCATTGTGCGAAGTTGATGTATCGCTCTCATCGAGTAGGTCGTCTTTTGCGAGATGATCTATACTTGATCCATTTAGTTCAGACAATGTTACCGCCGGCAGATCTGTAAACAAAAAAATACACATTTCGATAGTGCACAAACCAAAATGTGCACGACATGTATACCTATTAAGCATATCGTCACCTATATAACTTTATGAAAGAAGGTAAAAGGAGGCAGAGGGTATTGGCTACTTGGTTAGAAATTAATACATTACAAACACTGTATTATGGAAATATGAAATAATTAAGATGCCAAGAGCAGCAAGATCCGAGGCAATATAGAAAAGTAGATGAATGTTCGAGCTACTCAATCACCACCAGCTTATGAATATCCCTACTGCTGGGGCTCAGGCCTTGGATGAATGGAACCGAATTGAATCAAATAGGGACAATGAGCCATGAAGCCACGCTCGGTATTAACGACTGCAGGTGAGCCGGGACCATCGTTTAATTTGCCTTCCGAAGCACGGAGGAGCTCGAGAAAACAGATTTTTGGTCACCCATCCTATTACCGGCCAGTGCGAAAGTTGCTGAACAACCGCATTACGGACCGAGCGCGCTAATCACTGTGATTAGAAATTAAAAATAAAGTATTTCAGGATGTCTGAAAATTCAACCTCTAAGGCAGTGGTTGGCAAACTTATTCCGTCTACTGCCCCACTTTGAGAATAAATTATTTTTAGCGCCCCCATTTTTAAAACCACTATAACTTCAAATTAATTATTATTAAATTTGATCAATTTTGCATTCACAATAAAATACTGGAAAATAATATTAATGAAAAATGTTAAAAATTCTGATAATTTATTGTTAGGCCGGATTGCTTGAACATTGATGATAATACTCTGTAGTAGCGAAAAAGTAACAAGTGCTTGCAAAATTTTAAGTCTATTAAGTCCTGGGTAGCTCAGTGGTTAGAACAGTCGCCCGGATTGCGAGAGGTCATAGGTTCGAGTTCCATCTCAGAGTGACAGGGACAAAGTGTTTTTTTGTTAAGCATTTTTCATTAAGAATATTGTTTTTTATTTTTCACAAAGTCGTAATTTTTATCAGACTATCAACTGATTATTGAAAAAACTAAAGTCAGAAACGAAAACTTGTTTAATTGACGTTTTGGTACAGTTTGAGACGTGCTTAACTTTAAATAATCAATACAGAAAATGAGTGTTACTATAACCCGCAAGAGTTAACTTGAGATCTGAGCGCAGTATGTATAATACACAAGTCTCAAGTTAACTCTTCCTAAGCCTCTAAATAACGCCCCTATTTTGGCCTGCAGCATTCACAAAGGGGCGTTATTGCCTACTCTCGGAAAGGCTGCTCTAAGGAGGTAGTCTTGTGTGATTCGCGAACGTACTTCAAAGAACCGGCTCCCACAAACGAACTAGTTCCCACATTTCCCGGTACGTAGTTCGGTAGAATGAGTAAAGGTGAAGTCGACCGAACTGTCGTCTGGTTATTAAAAATATAAAACCGAAAAATATAAAGTATATTATTCACTGTCTAAACAATAAGCCTAGTTATTAAAATTAAATTAAATATTTGTAATAATTATTTTAAGGCTGTATATATATATATTTATAGAATATTAGTTCATATGTTTATTTATCTTACTTTTTGTGTCCAAATTTTTATGTAACTACTTGTTCAATAATCTAGTAGCAGCAAGAGCAGTATCTAAACGAGCGAACAGCCTTAAAACAATTGTGATGACGACTAATTTTAGTTTGTTTGTCCGTCAGGTTGATTATAAAAGAATATTATATACGTATTTTTTTATTCTTTGCGTAATCAACAAATTACGGCGATACATGAGGTTGAAATGTCGCATGACATCACGCTTTTGTACATTTTCTACAAAACTGTCAACTAGCCAGCCCAATCCCCAACTTTAATGCCTATTATCTAAGCCATTTCTTGTTTAAATTGAAGCAAAAAAATACGAACCTAATGCTTTTGTATTATCTGATTGACGGACTGAATAGATTTTTTTTACGCAGCCGCCATCCTTATTTAATATAAAGCAGCTCATTCGCTCGTTTTAAAACTGCTCCTGTTGTAAGAATAAAAAATCTAGAAAACTACTCGGGTCATGCACTAAAAGAGCGAACTAGTTCGTCTAAGCCTACTAAGGGGGATAAATAGAGCGGCAAAAAGTTTGTATGGAAAATTTGTAATGATAGCGTAGTTGACACGGCCGAAGACCGAAGACGCTAGCAGTCATATATACCGTCTCCGTCACCACCATCGCTCTCGGCATCAACTGCAGATGCGCTGTCTGAACTACTGTCAGGTTTCAGCATGTTTTCTTCATTTAGGAGCGGACTTTTGGCCATTTGTTTGTTCTTTTTCGAATTCGACTCTGTATTGTCAGTGGTTGATGAATCGCGCCGCCGACGATTCTTCATGAGACTATTTAGATTTGTAAGTCTGTAAAGAAACAGAAAATTTATATAATTTTTTTTTTATACCTAAATTGTCTTTACCTAAGAAAGGAGACGGCCCAGAATTGTGCTGAGTAGTTTAATAAGAGACTAAAAGAGAATAATAACAAAACAAACACATTGTATCAGAGTTCTACGATCCTCATTAATGAGAGACTAGACACAATTTAATTTTTTAAAGGAAAATATGGAAACTTCTTACGTAGTGGGTTTTAAGAATACATTCATAAAGTGGCTTAGACCATAATGAAAGTATGTAATCATTGACATAGAATTACAGAAAATAGAATCTTTCTGTCTAGTGGGTTTATGAATATCATTAACAAAGGTACATGGTCAACTTTCTATAAAAATTATCATGTGTCATTTAAAAAGCCATGAAAGATACATTTGTTTTCTAAAGAATTGTCTGAACAAAAAACAAGCATATAGGTAAAGGTTGAACATAATTTTATCATGATATCGCAAATAATGCTTTATTAAATGTTTATCGACATGTAAAATAATGGTACAAAAGGATATTTAGTCGTATTGCCAAATATAATATTAGAAGTCATCGAAATTTGGGACACATACTTTATTATTGTCCTATTATTGGCTTATGTACAATAAAGAATTATTCATACTTTTACTTTGGCAGTACTTTGGGTGATCTCCTTTATATGACAAGTGTTCAGTAAGAAATTCCAAATTCAAATTTATTTCAGGGCCTCGTGAATAGGGTCCCGCCTTGCCGTCCGTCACATAATGCATGATTGTCGATGTTGCTGCAGCCTGAACGGTACCCGGTCACACCGAGCAAGATGCGTCTCATGCCCAGCCCGCGTAGCATGGAGAACTAGACTCGAGAAACGCTCTTTTCGTTTTCATTTCTTGAGTCTAACACTCGTATCTACAGTCAAGTAATAGTAAATACTTGAGTAGAAGTAATTACTTAAGCAAATATTTTTAACAATTAAACAAGAATTTGAATGAAGTAGGAATTAATAGTAATATTATTATTCGCTACTAACAGTTCTTATTTCATTGGTGACAAATATTTGCTGATGTTATGCCATTTTCTCAAGTTATTACACACGACTATAGATACGAGTGTAAGAGTTCGTCATGTTACGTGAGCCTGCAAACTGATAATAATAAAATCGGAAACGCTCACTTTGGTTGAAACCAAGAGAACTAACCAAATTCTATACAGCGGTTTATCACTTTATTAACAAATATCATAAACACAGTAAGTTAAAAAAAATATGAAGAATAGTTAAAAGAAACGTAAAATATGTTTCTTTCCACATAACTAAAAATATATAGTACTGAAGCATAAAACAAATGTTAGAATTTCAGCTAGTTTTTTCTTTACTTTTTGTATTAAGATATTAATACTTTGATTGTATTAAGATATTAATACAATCACAATGAAGAATACTAAATTAAAGTAAAACTAAGATTGATAAAAAAATCATCCAGTCTTTATTTATATCAGAGGTTTTATTATAAACTTCAGTAAGTCAATATACTTGGAGACTTATAGTTTCATCCTAATATCCAGAAAACATAAGTTTAACTAAAAATATTTTTAAATACCGGATTTTATTATAGAAAATGTTGTAAATAAACCTTATTATATACCCAAGTCTATGTTTAAATGAAAAGATTGAAAATAGCCATAGAATAAACAAATCGGTTTTAGTAAAGAAATTGAATATACAATTATTAATATACAATTATTCAATTTCTTAAAAAATTAAATAAATGTATGCACATAACTACCAAACAATTGCACCAAATTGAAACATTCTTTTTTTATGTGTTCGTTATTGTCAGGACAAGGTTTTTATATAAGAAATTTTATAAAGATATGATTTACAAAAACGGGTTTAGTAAAATATAAAAATTATCTTTGTAACCCATTAAACATTCAGTAAATCATTAAAATTTTATGAACTACCTAAGATCACAATTTGCTCTTTGGTTAAACAGGACAAATATACCATATTAGTCCACCAGACATATGGAACATTCAATTGTCCAATCACATGAGCAAAGATGTTATGATTTTTTGTTTTCTACTCTGTGAACACAAAATTATCTGCACTAGGAAATACCTTATGTGATGATAATAGTATT